AACGACTTTTGAAAATATGTTATATAGAGCAAACTTCACAAATTTTCCTTCTGTTTTAAGGAGTCCTACCAACCTCTGCAGGGCTCTCAGCATGACTTGAGAGTTACTAACATGTCTAAGGAAAACTTCCATTCTTCTATTCCAAGGCTCCTAACACCATCCTCAGTTGCCAAGCACATCTGTTGGTCCGTTCTTAGAATTTGCTTTCCATTTCACAGAAGAAAAAAAAAATCTAAACCCTCATGGGGTGAATTCTTTGTATTTAAAAATTCACTCAGCCCTCTCTTTTGCCTCCTTTTTTCTTGTGACAAAGAAACTCTCTCTTCTCCTGTGGAAGACTCTCCTCTCATCTGGTTCTGACCCAGTCCATTCTTCTCCTCTTCCCACCAAGAAAAATCAATGCTCCATCTGTTACTTGATTTCTTCTGGATTTTTGGCATTTCCTTTCTTACTTTCCCTTCTAAACATCATCTTTTAACAAAAAACCTACCCTTGACCCACCCAACCGATGGCCTCTCTTTCATAATCAGGCTTCTAGAAAGAAAACATCATAGTTTTGTTTTTGCTTCCCTATCTCACATCAACACTATACATCTAAAGCTTTAAATACATGTATTGAGCAACTTTTAGGCCCTAGGCTCTGTGGTATGAACCATAGTGAAGATTCTATGGTACTCCTCAGATGCTTACAGTCTATGGTGGGAGAGATGAGAATGATTAAAGTATGGTGAAGTACATACTACCATAACAGTCCATGGTGCCATGGGAGCACCTGAGAGGGGCATCTAACTCACATGGTATGAGGCCCAGGAAGGCTCCTCCGGGAGGAGAAGTCAGACCCAAGACCTGAAGGACAAGTAGGAATTAGGAGGATAGTTATTAATTATTACTTACAACTACTAGGTCTTCCAATGATCATTTATAAGGTCATTATGGGAAGGCTAGTTCAGAGGAAGGGTTAATTCCAGGAGAGCAAACAGAGGTAAATGAGAATATGATGCATTGGTTTAAAAAAAATTAGGGGTACCTGGGTGGCGTGGTTCGTTAAGCGTCCAACTCTTGGTTTCAGTTCAGGTCCTGATCTCAGGGTTGTGAGATCGAGCCCCGCATCGGGCTCCATGCTGGGTATGGAGACTGATTAAGATTCTCTCTCCCTCTCCCTCTACTTCTCCCCTCCACTTGCAAACTCGTGCGCTCCCTCTCTCTCTCTCAAAATAAAATAAAGTAAAATAATTTCAAAAATTATGTCTAAGTATGTCTGGAGTTGGAGGAAGGGTTAAGGCAAAGGCAGGCTGGAGAGGAGTGGTGACCAGATGATAAAAGCCTTGTGTACTTTTGGAAAGAAGCCAGGACAAGGTGAAGGCAGCAATCAGAGTGACATAATAAAAATTGTACATTGGAGAGATTTATGTGGTGAGAAAATGGATTACTTTCCAGTTTTAAGACAGTAGATAGGAAAAAGGTAAAACAAAGACAATCAGTCTCAAATATCTAATAAATTTCCAGGAAAAAAGAATAGAAAGACTAAAAGGGAAGCAGTATTGGACCAAAACATTAGCTGAGAATTTCCCGGGACTTCAAAACAAAACAAAACAAAAAAACACAAGTTCTTTGATTTTTGGTTTTTTGTGGTTTTTTTGAGGGGAGGGGGTAGGAGGATGGGTTGGCCTGGTGATGGGTATTAAAGAGGGCACGTTCTGAATGGAGCACTGGGTGTTATACGCAAATAATGAACATGGAACACTACATCAAAAACTAATGATGTAATGTATGGTGATTAACATAGCATAATAATTAAAAAACACACACACAATGTGTTTTTTTTTTATTCTTCAAAGAACTTCAAACAAGTTCTTTGATTGCAAGTGGCCACAGACTGCCATGCAGGACCAAAAACCAAAACCAAAACCAAAACCAAAACCAAAACCTACACCTAAGCACATTTTCATGAAATTTAATGCATTTGCGACTAATGAGAAAATCCTAAAATAACCTAGCAAGAACAGCGAAATACCTTAAGTTAATGAGAATCAGAGTTAGATAAGCAGGCTTATTAGCAAAACCAGATGTAAAAATAACATTATTTTTAAATAAATAAAGATATTTTCAGTCGTGGTCAAAAACAAAAGCAATAACAAAAAATCCAAAATGATAGAGTAGACAGAAATATAGGTCGAGAAGAAAGGACAGATTTATTAGCCAATTTACAAATGGTCAGAAATTATATTAAAATACGCTTGACATCACAAGTAACCTAAGAAATGTATGTTAAGTCATATTTTTTTTATCAGATTAGTAATTTTTTAAAATACCTATAATTTCTAGGTGGGTGGGTCGGATGGGTGAAATAGACAAAGGGGATTAAGAGTACATTTACTGTGATGAGCGCTGAGTATGGATATAACCATTGAATCATTATAGTGTACACCTGAAACTGATATTATACTGAATGTTAATTATACTTTAATTAAAAAAAACCTATAATTTTCAGTTTTGCCAAGGCTGCGGAGAGTGTAATCGCTACCACAGTACCATGCTAAATACTTTACGTGTGCTGTTTCCTTTAATCCTACCCCCAAATTCTAAATTTTCAAATCCTAAAAGACCCTGTTGCATAGTACTGTATCCTCGGTATCTTACAGGTGAGGAAACTGAGGCTCCCAGGTGAGTCACTTGCCCAGCATTGCATCACTAGTAAGGAGTAGAGCTCAGGCTTCGAGGCCAAATATGCTGGCAGACTTGTCCCATATAGGATGGGATATGGACTCGGAAATAAGCAGGTCATAGGGGAAAGAGACTTAGGCTGATTTTTTTCCCTTGCCAGAGTAAGGCAGGTTCAAGTATGTTTGTCAACATGTGAGGGTGATCACTAGTAAAATGAAAGACTAGAAAGTTCTCACCCATGGGCTTTCCACAGGAGAGGAGAAAAGGACAAGGGGAATCTAAATAAGGAACAGAGAAAAAAACATGATCAGTGTAGAAATGGAAAAATGGGGAAACCACAGGAAAGCTTAATTTGGATACTGTATAATGAGATGACCAGACAAAATGAGTTGGTTATTCCAGTGACTTAGATCTCTCACAGAAAGGAGAAGATTTATAGACTAGATGAAAAGAAAAATGAAGTTATACTTCTTCAAGAGACATCCTGTAGGCAGATGACAGAGGTAGGTAAAAATATATCTGAGAAATGCAAATGCAAATAAAAATCGAAGGCAGGAATATATCATATAAAGGATGTTTCAATGCAAGAAGACAGCGAGAAAGCACAAAACAGGACCAAGTAGAATTTGTTTCTTATATTTAAAGAAAAACAAATTTTGGGAGAGCATTTGCCAAAACCCAACTGTAGCCACACAGCTGGGTCTGAGGAAGGACAAAAAGCAAGAACAGCAAAGTTCTTGGGAAACAGCAGATGTTCTCAGTCTCTCTCTCTCTCTCTCTCTTGCTGCTGGGTGGCTCCACTCTTCTTTCGTTGCAAATCGGATGTCTTTCTGCTTTTGCAGACAACATTGAGGGTCTACAGAGCTAAGTACCCTGTACAAGCAGCCGGGAAAGAATTCAAAGGACTGTTTCACACCACATGAAATCTATAAGGCTTCCGGCCCTGGAGAACATTGTTGCAGAATATATGAAGACAAAGGCAAGGCAAATTTGTAAAATGTGTGTACCTAAAGCGAGAATCACTGAGTGAACAGAGACACACACAAATGAGACTCATAGCATTTGTTACTTAAGCCACAGACTGGAGAGGGTCTGAGTATTTTACCCAAGATCTGCTACTCACCAGCTGTGTGAATTTGGGCAAACTCTCCGGGCTTCATTTTTCTCATCTGTAAAGTGGGGGTGATTATAATAGCGCCTACCCAATCAGATTATTATGTGGATTAAATGTGCTAATATTTAAGCATGCCCTGCACATCATAAGTGCATTATCTGGTTGCTTAGTAATTATCCTCTGCATAAAATCAGTGCTATTCCATTTTTAAAATCCCAACAGGATGATTTTTTTTTTAATCGGCAAGCAGATTCTAAAGCTTATTTAGAAGAGTGAAGACATATGGCTTCATCGAAGAAATGTTGAAAAGAAGATTAATGAGAGTGCCGTCGCTCTATTACAGTGGTACAGAGATTACAACGTGGCACATGAGAAGGAAGAAACCGATGTTTTGAAGGAAAAGAATGGTGTCTAAAGGGGAGTGGGAGGGACAGGCTTCCAGTTATGGAATGAATAAGTTGTGCGGATGAAAGGCACAGCTTAGGGAAAAATAGTCAGTGGGATTGTAATAGCATTGTATGGACAGATGGTAGCTACCCTTATAGTGAGCATAGCCTAACACATAGACTTGTTGAATCAGCAGATTGTACACCTGAATCTGATGCAACATTGTGTGTCAACTCTACTTCAGTGATAAAAAAGAGAGAAAATAGGGTCCAAAAGCCAAGTAGCCCCAGAAGGTGTAAGCTCCATCCTTGATTCAAAATTCTTCTAGGAAAAAAGTTACTGAAAAGCATTTCCTCAATTACAGTCTCTGTTTACAAAATACTGGCGATGTTATTAAATGTGATAATTTTGTATCTTCTGCAGAAGACAGCAGATATGCAGAAACACTCAGAAGTTTTTTGTTTTGTTTTGTTTTTTTAAGATTTTATTTATTTATTTATTAGAGACAGAGAGAGAAAGGCAGAGGGAGAAGCAGGCTCCCAAGGAGCAGGGAGCCTGATGCGGGACTCGATCCCAGGACCCTGAGATCATGACCTGAGGCGAAGGCAGACGCTTAACCATCTGAGCCACCCAGGCGCCCTGTTTTTTTAAGTCTGACGGTCTCGGGCATTAATGCATTTGATCTGCCTCTGTTTTGCTTGCTGAGCAATTTCTGAACTCACAATTAGCAAAAGAGCACACATGATTGAATAAACGTGAGGGATGGGAAGTAGGTGAGGAAGATTTCATGTGATTATCATAGACAATGGGACACAGATGAGTCCGTTCGGTTTAAGAATTGCACGCACAGCACATAGTTTCTCCTTCAGTTGTGTATTCAGAAAGCAAATCACAGTGCAGAAGCACGGAGCGGACTTACTGACAGCGAGCAGAAAGAGAGTGGTCCTTTCTCACTTTTCTTCTTCAGCCAAAAACAAGCTCCATGAATTACAAGAAGTTTTAGAATTGCCTTGTCTTCAACTTAAACGAAATGCTCAAAGAAGATAGAATGGTAGCTCTTACCTCTTAAAAAATGTGTCTTGAAAAATATGGAAAACTGGACAGACTTAAAGACAGCAGTTGGTTATAGAGAAAGTGGTTTGTTTGCTGGGATTTGCTACAGAAAGAACAAGCCGGTAGATCTTGGGAATGCAGGTGACTTTACATGATGTTGCTCAAAGGATTCTCCTGCTTTGCACTCCAAGAGAAATGCTGCAGTTAGCTCGGATGCAATGCAACTGAAATGCAGATAAAAAGTCGGAGTTCATGGTTTTACCCTGAAAAAATTACATGGCTTCAGTGCCATATTTCTATACCTAGTTTTTAAGAACTCAATTGGAGGGTTTTGAGTTACTTTCTGACCTGATTTATATTTATAGCTATCATTTTTTGAGAAATATTTTCTTTTTCTACCTCTCTCCGCCCTGCTTTTCTCTGAACTGTCTCTTTACTTATGTTTCCTTAAAAAGACTGTCCCGGGGGCCAACTCTCCCATTAGGGACTTGTATGAAAAAGCTAATTGAGAAAGACTAGATTGTCTTTAGTTTGATAGCTCCTAATGTTTTGATATGTCCAGCCAGCCATCTGCAACTACAAACTCCCTGCTGAGTTGCTGGCAGGGAGACAAAGAAATGGAAAACAGCAAAGAAGTCACCATGTGGTATGAGCCGAGAGTTTTTGGCAGCCTGGCTGAATTAAGACCATAATCCTTTTCGGAAATCATTCTAAAACGGAACTATTCACAATAAACATGAAATTAAAAGCATGATGTAGTAGTGACCCAAAAGGAATGTGAATTCTTCTCCAGGACATGCAGAGACCTGTGGATGAACTGTTTCTAGATTCTTGCTCCAGCTTTCCTGAGAGTAAGTTGATCTCTAAAATTGTGGTTGTTTTGTATATAAAACTATAACTTATGACTTCAAATAGGGAATGCCAAACATTTGGATGGGAACTAGTAAATGCAGTAAATTATTAGTTGTTTTGATTTTCCAAATCATCTGAGTATTTTATATTGTATGGCTAAAAAACCAGTTGGAGAACTAAGTGGGTTTCTGTTTTTGTTTTTGTTTTTCATTTTCACCCCAGGACTAAAGTATGTTTGGACAAATAGCATATATTATCTAAAAGGGTATTGGGTGAATTGAAAAGAATATAACTTTATGTTGCCTCTTTGCAAGTATGATGGGCTGTTTCCCAAGTGAATAGAATTAGTTATTCTTTTTTGTTTGTTTTCACTTTTACTGCTAGAGGATTTGTAAGCACTGGGGGAGGGTGAGTGGGAGACACATGATTTTCTGAGTTTTGTATTGTTTTAACTGGCTTGAGAACATTTTCATCAAGAAAACTTAGGGCAATATTTTTATTGACCTTATTTATCATATTACATTTATAGGAATCTTGATCTAATTTGTTGTGCAATGTGTTTATTTTCTGAATACAAGGAATTCTATCTGGCGGGGAGTGACTGGCTTTTTATAGCCACATTTTTATTTCTAGATCACACGACTTCCTATTCAGAGCAATGTAAGCTAGTTAGATGTTTTGTGCTCCTCTGGTGAATAGTAATTTTTCTCCCTGACATTTACATCAGGATGTGTAGTGGGGGAAAAAAAAATCAGTCTTAACAGAAATAAATAACCACAATCGTGACAGATCATGTTAATTCTTCTGTAGTCATCAATAATACTTTCTAGCACATGCATTCCTCCACAGAAAGAAAGGAGAGTAGGCACGTAGGCGACATATTTAACTCTCTCAGATACCATGTTTTAGCAGGGCACTGATTTCTTAATTGGTAATGTCGTGGTTTTGTTTGAGGTGGGGTCTCCAGGCCATCACAGCCTGCTCAGATGGCACTATGGTCAGGAGCTCAGCCGCATAGCTTCTGAATCCCTTTGTTCAGTTCTGGACAATTTTTGTTCCACAAGTGGGTACCTCATAAAGGCAACTCTGTACATCCTAAAGCTCTCGTCCTTGTCTTATTCTCAGTCTTCATGCTTTCTTTTGTGCTCCTTGTGTTAATTTTCTGTTGCAGCTGTAACAGATGACTGTGAACTTCATGGCTGAAAACAAAACAGATTTATCATCTTACAGTTTGGGAGGTGAGAAGTGTGATGTGAGTCTCACTGGACGAAAATCAAGGTGCCAGCAGGGCACCTTGGATTCATTTCTGGAGGATGCGAGGGAGAATTCTGTTTTCTTGCCTTCTAGCATTTCCAGAGGCTGCCCACCTTCCTCGGCTTATGCCCACCTTCCTCCATCTTCAAAGCCAGCAACGGGTTGACCCTTTTAACAGCACCTTGCACTGACTGCCTTTTTTACTTCTCTTTTCCACTTTTTAGGACTCTTGTGATTACATTGGGTCCCCCTAGATAACCCAGGATTATCTCCCTGACTTAGAGTCGGTTGGGTAGCAAACTTACTCCCATCTGTTCCCTTAATTCTCCTTCGTCATGTAATATAATATATTCACAAGTTCCAGGCTTAGAACGGGACCATTCTTCTGTCTGCCTTATTCCTCTTCAATTATTCCTTGCTTTTCAGACTGAAATGGCAGATGCACAATATTCCCTGCAAGACACAATGATTAGGTTTTATCTCTGCCTTGAGTTGGTGACCTTCCCATTTGAGCTGCCTCCTGAATACCAGTAGGGACCAGCATATTCGTGGCTTTGCTCTCGCCCCATGGATAAGATCAGCATTAGGTCATGTATCTAGTAGCCAGAAACAACCTTATTAGTAATATGATGGAAGAGACAATAGCAATTCTATAGTTTGCAACCCTCTTCAAAATGGCACCAAAGGTAGACACAATGACCCTCAAAACCCAGGTCTTATTGACTTGTCCTCCAAGCTTTGTGCCAAAGCTTAAGCCATTACGCTCGGAACATTTCCTGGACCAATTCCCCTCCTACAATGTTGGCTTCTGTTCATTAAGATTACACCTTATGTTTTCCTTATCAACTAAGATAATTCACGGGCATTTATGTTTTACAAGTCTCAGAGTAATTTTGTTTTTCTTCCTGATGGGAAAATAATGAGATAGACTTCTTTTTTTTTTTTTTTTAATATTTTATTTATTTGACAGAGAGAAACACAGCAAGAGAGGGAACACAAGCAGGGGGAGTGGGAGAGGGAGAAGCAGGCTTCCCGCGGAGCAGGGAGCCCGATGTGGGGCTTGATCCCAGGACCTTGAGATCATGACCTGAGCTGAAGGCAGACGCTTCACAACTGAGCCACCCAGGCGCCCCATGAGATAGACTTCTTGCAATTCAATTATGAAACTCATTCTGGGAGATACACTAGTAATTCTTGGACTGCACTAAGATGACCATATAAATAATTACATCATGCTACCACTACCAGACTGAAGGTTATATCTGGAATCTGCTGCCTTCACTAGGTTTGAAAGAGACCATCTGATGGCTGTTAGACAGCTAAGTCCTGAATTGTTGTTGTTATATAGGTTCTCTCTATATAATGTCCTTTGCAAACAATTCTATAAAGAGTTGCTGATGACAGGGCCTACTTATTGGAAACTGACAGTATGGCTGACTGGTAGACCTGTGTGTAAGCCTAAAGGCTAGCACTCTCTCCCTGTGAGCTTAAGCCCTAACATGGATTACCCCCAAGGCCAAGGTTGAGCCCATAAGTAGGAGGCAATGGATGACTGTTCCACTGAGAACAGCAGAGCAACATGGTACCTGAAAATCAGGCCTAAATTGCCTCCAATAATATACTATTAGAATGAGGTTCCAGTTCAAGGAACTCCAAATGCAAATTTACCTGATTCATGAGTTCGTTCCCTTTCTCCCTATTTCTACCTCCCACCTATCCACTCATATGCATGCAGGAGTAACAGACATCATGAATCTGAAAATTATTTTAGGTGCTCTTTTCTACTGGCAATAAAATGGGGCCTGCGATTTGCAAGAATCAAATTTGTCTGTAATGACACCACACATACCTCTTTACCCAACAGACCTTATCACAATAACTATATTTTTCTGCTCATACTTTTCCAACAAAGAGCACCTTCACACCACTGGGTCCAACTCTGGCAAGATCTCAGAATCTAAATAGCTTGAGAAGGCACAGAACTTCAAAGGTTCTTTCTATTTTTTAGGACATTTTTCACCTCTTTCAGTTTTTGTGAGAAAATCAAACATGACTGTAGGGTGAAGAAAAAATTGGGTAGGCTGTTTTTTATTCTTGGCATTTTAGATTCTTTTCGATTCTACTTCTTGATCCCACCCATACATCACCTAAGGTTTGTTTTTTTCCCTCCTCATCTTTGCAAATACCCTTTCCAGTGGATGCACTTTGTCTCTCTGCCCACACCCAGAAGAGGTGCTTGCCCCAGATATGGAAGCTACAAGGGTGCTCTCTTTGCACCCATCATGGGCTTGTGTTTCTTGAGAATTCAGTTCATCAGGTCTCCTTGCATCTATTGCTTTTTGTTCATGCTATGGGAAATATGGTTTTAATTTTGTCTGGATTACTGTTGTTTCTTACCATTGGTGTAAAGATACTCCACATTCTTCTATATCTCATCTGTGGACTTGAACAAAACAACGATATTGTTTCATGCACATTCTCATCACCTCCCTGATATTCCATGAGGTGGAACTAGATGCCAAGCTTCTGCCATGACCATTAGCCCTGCAGGTCCTTTCAAGTGAGAGAATATTATGTGGTTTTCAGGGATTTCTTCATAATTTTAGATTCAGTTAATTTTCTCAGTCTTTGATTAATATGCACATTTTGGTCAGGAGAGTCAAACTTTTTTGTGTATATTCCTTAACTTGAGGCAAAATTTAATAATTTAACTGACATTTCGTGGGGGAGTATCTGTGGTTTGGGGTTAAATTATATTCTAGTTTTATTGCAAATAGATATTTCTTCAGTGTTCTTTGTATTTGTCCCTTTGGGTAGATTTTTCAAAGGAAAATGGACAAATCACTTTTTCACTTCCACTTTGAAGGTATCAGGCTGATTTTTGTTCCATTATAAACTGTTTTCTCTTTCCTTTCTGAACGACCCCACCTCTACCCTGACAACTTAATTCTAACTTTTCCCTCTATCCTTTAATTTTAAACATACCATTCTTTTTTGCCATTGTATTTGGTACTTGGAGAGCCTTTTGGGGAAATATACATGTCTTCCAACTACCTTGAAAAATTAATTTCCATTGGGCTTTTTACAATATACTTTCTTCAGTATATTTTTCTCCCAACTGTTTTTTCTTCTTTTGGGGTATCTCTTTACCAAATACTTTCCTTTTGATCCTACTTTTTTTCTTTCTACTTCATGTATTTTTTATTTCTCTCATCATTTTTAAATGAGTTTTGATTTTCTTTGAAAATTTGGCAAGATTATGAAATTTTTCTCCATATCATAGATCTTATGTTCTTTACTGACTTCAATGGGACTTTTAAGTATGTAATTTGCTTTTCATTTCTTCTTACCTTTCTTCTTGAATTTTATTATAGTCATTAAATGGAAGACTTGAAAACTTTTCTTCTGTTTATCGTAATAAAGTTTCTTTTGAAAGATCATATATTTTCTCTGCCTCTTGAGAGTAATCAATCTTTCCTTATGTTCCAGCATTTGGGGGCTCCTGATAATGACTGGACAGACCAAAGCCCATGGCTAAGTAGTCTGAGTGCATCCCTCCTTGAGCTCCTCACCCCCTGTCTGGATGTTGGTAGAATCTCTGATCTTGCACAAAGTGGAGGATTGATCTGCGCAATCCTTAGACAAATTTTGAAAACAGCATTGTCACAGTGGTTAAGAGTGAGGTCTCTAGAACTTGGTCATCTAAGTTAAAGCTCTGATTCTGCCACCATTAGCTGTGTTTGGCAAGTCACTCAGCCTCTGTGTGTCTCATATCTCTCATCTTTTAAATGGGGAGAATAATAGGATCTATTCCAAAGGTTTATTATGAGGATTAAACTAATTGATTTTGTTAGTTAACTTGAACTTCCCTTCATATGTTTTTAGCCTCTGGCTCCTTTTCCTACACGCGCAATTGGAAATAGCTGTTACAATGTTTCTTTTTGGTTTGATTGCACAATGTTTCCTATTTCAGACCTTCACATTTACTTCCTTCTTTATTTTAAAATAAACAGGTCAGAATGAGCAAGAGGCACGTAAGTGTGGGTCAGCAAACGTGGGCTCTCCTCTGCAAGAACTTTCTGAAGAAATGGAGGATGAAGAGAGAGACCTTGTTGGTATGGCTCAGAGCCTATGTCTTCTCATATTTAGAAGAGGAAAATGTTTTTTTGGGGACACTGCAAACAGTTTATCTTCATTATTTAATGTTTCATATATATGTTCTATTGTTAACTAACAGCCTGGAAAATTTTCCAAATTCTGGACTTTGCTACAACTTAAATGAAAGTCCTTTAAATATATTATTATTTTATGTCTGACTAGAGGCATTCTTTAAATAATTGATATTCAGAAGCTCTCTGAAAAATAAAGCCATGCTTTTTATTGCAGAGATAGTGATTCTTAAAATCTGAACTCATTTGAAACTCATGAAGGGGGGCACCTGGGTGGCTCAGCCGTTAAGCGTCTACCTTTGGCTCAGGTCATGATCCCGGGGTTCTGGGATCGAGCCCCGCATCGGGCTCCCTGCTCAGGGGGGAGCCTGCTTCTCCCTCCCCCACTCACCCTGCTTGTGTTCTCTCTCTCACTGTGTCTCTCTCTGTCAAATAAATAAATAAAATCTTTTTTTTTATATATAAAGAAACTCAGGAAGGAATAGATACAAAAGTTCAGGGTCAAAGTCAAAGAAAGAAGCAAATTTAACCCAGAATTAATCCAGCAAGTAATCAAAAATTAAAAAAAAAACTTCAAAAGACAAATTGTAGCACTTCTGCACACTTGTACTAAGGATACAATGTCAATTTGAAAAAAATAATGGGTATATAAACAGAAAAAGAAAATGGCATTTTGAATTTTTGCTTCTATTAAGACAATACTTAGTTTCTCCTGATAAGAATGAGCAGATGTACTTTGTGTAGAAAATTAAGTAAATTGAGAAAAATACGTTAAAAAAGTTAAAATCACATATAAAATACCCATCGTTCAAGGGTTAGTATATTAATATTTCATTTTATGAACACTGTGTGTGTGTGTCTGTGTTGTTTCAACAAATATGTATTGAATTCTTGGATTGACAGTAAATAAAGCATAGAAAAATCCCAGCATGGAGTAGAGATTATATAAGTATAAATATAAAAGTTGGATTCTACCCTACATAGACGTGTTACTTGCAACCTTTTAACTGTTTTTAATATAAGCATCACATCTGTCGATTGATCTATCTCGATATAGAGCAACACACATACTAAAACAAGATCAGATGGTAAATAAGATATGTACCTCTTTTAAAGACCCGGTGTTTAGAATCGAAAGTGTGTAATAGGGTCTCTTCTTAATACCAGATTTCAAATGCATTCTGTTGCATTTCCAATTTCGGAATGTTGTCACAATGACAAAGATTTTTTAAAATTCTTTTTATGAGCAGTATTTTGGGATGATCTTCTTCCTCATATACAGCAGCAGCAGATAAAAATAGGACCTTGCTCCTGTTGATGAGAGCTGGAAACCAATTTCATGACACCTAACATTTCTCTCTCATCGACACTCAGGCAAGCATGACTGTAAACCACTGGGCCATTCCTGAAGCAATCTAGCCTCTAACACTCACATTAAAGTACGATAAACTTAGACTCTCAGGGGCGCCTGGGTGGCTCAGTTGGTTGAGCGACTGCCTTCGGCTCAGGTCATGATCCTGGAGTCCCTGGATCGAGTCCCGCATCGGGCTCCCTGCTCGGCAGGGAGCCTGCTTCTGCCTCTGACCCTCCCCCCTCTCATGTGCTCTCTCTCTCATTCTCTCTGTCTCAAATAAATAAATAAAATCTTTAAAAAAAAAAAAAAACTTAGACTCTCAGTCATAATTGGAATCAATGCCACAACTCTCTCTTGATGGATGATGCATATATTTCAAAATATGCTAATCAAAAGACAAAAGAAAATGGAAACACTGGGAAACTGGGAGAGAGGAAAAAATGGTCCATGCTACATAAAAAAACTACATGTTTGAGGTTGTTTGTGGATGATTTATCTGTGGATGAGCAGCTATTGATCTGCTTCATTTTTCTCTCATTGCTGTGTAGGAATGGTTTTTCTCATTTCTTCTAGTATTGTTTGCATACCGACTTTCCTCCAATTTACATCAAGTTAATGACTTCCCTCAATTGCCTGCTATGAATCTGGGACGTGTAGATAATTTTAATGATTCTAATTATGTGATTGCATTTGCACCTGAATCCAAAACAACCCAGGAGATCATGAACAAAGTGGCTTCAGCCCCATTCATGAAAGGTATGTTCTCTGGCAGTTCTGGGTGTTTTCCTGATATGCAAAACATACAAATTTATTTTAGGATTTCCTATTATCTTCATTATAGTCCGTATCAAAATGAAACATTATTCAAATGTATGCTAGTGAGAAGATTCTGGAAATATTGCACAGTGCTGACAGTATGGTTTTTAAATCTCTTCAAATATATAAAAAATTGAGAGAGAAATTAGACAGTTAAGTCAAGAAATCATGGGCAATAATTACCAACAAAACTAGGTGGTAAGGTGTTTCCCCAAATCCCACAATATAAGTGGGTGGGGAAAAAGCACCAACAGCCACCAAGTCTACATGGCATCTCTCTCTGGGGTGTTGGGAGAGTGAAGGGGAGCAGTGGGGTATCTGATGGTCCTGAGAAGAACCCCTTTAGAGGAAGCCAGTACCCACTGCAAAGAAGAGTAGGCCAATCTGCAAGCAACTGAAACCATTTTCGGCTACTGTACTGGTAGGGTAGTGTTGGACTGTTATTCCAAAGCTGTTACATATGTAAAGTGGGATATACCAAATAAGTAATTATGGAATAGTCTTTTTCTCTCACCCCTGTGTCTTGGAAACCCAGGAGTCTCAGTCCTGGAGGAAAGGAGATGTAGAGGTCTGGGACAGGAAATTGACAGGGTAAAGAATATTGTCAGGGCACCTGGTTGGCACAGTTGGTTGAGCGTCCGACTCTTGGTTTTGGCTCAGGTAGTAATCTCAGGGCTGTGGGATCAAGCCCCGCATCAGGCTCCGTGCTCAGTGCAGAGTCTGCTTGACTCTCTCTCCCTCTTCCTCTGCCCCTCCCCCCATGCTTGCACGCTCTCTCTCTCAAATAAATAATCTTTTAAAAATATGTTGTCATTCCCGATAGCTAGGAAACCAGTGATAATGAATAGGTTCTGTCAAAGGGACTCAGCAGTCACCTTGAGGAGACTCCCACTGGTCTAAGTTGGCATACTTTGAGCTTCAACAAGAATAGTAAGTGTAATGATATGAAACTCATCTAATGCATACATAAAATCCAGGCTTTCATAATGTATTAAAAGAAAAAAATTGCTTTTGGAAGATGGTACAAAATCGTTCTTCTTATGAAAATTTGTATATAAAGGGAAGATACCCAGTATTTATCCTGTATGAACTGTACTATTGGATAATCAAAGAGATGCTGGAAAGTACTGTTTTATAAATGTTTTCTACTAATAAATAAAAAAACAAATGATGGCAATATAATATCACCATTTTGAAACTCCCATTGAGTTAATGGATCTAGGCACTAAGTGTCCATGGCTGCTAATAATATCTCCAAACACCAGATCATCAGAAATCCTGACACTCTGATGAAAGAAAACACCACCACATATAGTCTTGCCGAAGGGATTAGCCAGAGTCTGATTAAGCCTCTGGATGCCACTGCCAGATTGCAGGAAATGCAGGGATTAGGAACATGTCAAATTGCACTAGAAGCGTGCATCCATCAGAATCCAGGCTGCAGGGAATTACATGGTTTCAGTGGCCCGGGTTTGGTCAGTAACAGTCATTAATTGACATGATATTTTTTGGATATCTTGAGAAAAGATTCTCCAAATTTAACAATTTTATGCTGTCTTCGGAGGTTTGGCCACACTGACACCATTATCACATGAAAGTACATATTATAATTGTAGGATATAGTTCAAATTTGGATAGGTCTGTGTATTGCTAGGGGTATTGCTGGTATAATGGTGGTATTGCTATTATTCCAAATTCAATGCTTTAAATCATTGGTTTAAAAGCTTATTTGGAAAGGCATAATCTGTTTGTGATAAAAGTGATTGCCACATTAACTCTGATTTTATCTAGAATTTTAGACACTCCCCCATAGTATGAGTCTCTTATTTAGGACCAGCCCTGCCTTTAGTGAATAAAGAACTTTAACATAATTGAATATGGCCTGCCGTCATTGTACCACATAGAAATCTTACTTATTAGCTACTTTCTTCTTACTTATTAGCTACTTTCTTTCACGTGGCAGGAAGAACAATCGTGGGGTGGCCGGATGAGAAAAGTATGGACGATTTGGATTTAAACTACTCTATAGATGCAGTGAAAGTCATCTTTAATGATACCTTCTCATATCATTTGAAGTTTTTCTGGGGAGGGAGAATCCCCAAGATGAAGGAACACAGAGACCATTCAGGTAACTTTCCTACTAGAAGGGGGTTTTTTTTGGCTATTATGTCATTAGCCACTAGAGGGCACATGTGATTCCCTGAAGTCCACACAAACATACGCTGGGTGTACTCTTAATTCCTGAACATAAATGAGATTCATTCTTATTTAAAGAAAGTCTGTGTTCTTAAGTGTATTGTTTTATAAATAAAATCTTAAAAAAAAAAGAAACAACAACAACAAGAAATTGTATTTGCTATTATTCCTATGCTTCTCCTAAATATAACCTGAAGGAAAGATTCTTGCTCATTGATTCCCAAATGTTTAAAAAAATGTAGTGCTTTCTTGGCAAAAGCAGCAGAAGAACAAAGCTCAAAAAAACATTCTCGGCTAACTGAGAGAATAATAGATTGAATAAAAATTATTAATAACTGGTCTTAACAACATTAATAAAGCAATTCTGGTGTATTCTTCTGGGGTGTGCTCTTCAAGCCTCACCGGAGAAGTCCTACCGTACACTGTATTATTGTGGACTTGTACTGCATTTTGGAACGTTTGAAGTTTTGATTTTCCCTATACCAAGATCGTCCCATCCCATCATAAATGGTTATGTTCTTCTTTTATGAAAGCTCATTGTCAAGTGATGGATGAAAAAATCACATGTGAAGGTTCAGTGTTCTGGGAGAAAGGCTTTGTAGCTTTTCAAGCTGCCATTAACGCTGCTATCATAGAAGTGAGTATTAAGTTAAAGAAAACTAATTGCATTGTAAATTACATTTTGATGCATGGTGCTACAATGGATTGCCCTACCTTAGCATTTAATTAATTGAGTCACTTAATTTATTTGGCACAATCCACTGAGCAACTGCTGTATGTGAGCCATTACACTAAGCACTGAGGGTCAAGAAATAAGTAGAACACAGGTACTTTTCTCCAGGGATCCTGGATAATGAGGGGACAGAAATGTGGACATGAAGTCACAATAAAAGTTGAGGTTCTATCATGAAATTATACATGCTGTGCAAGGCAAACAATGAAGCAGAAGACACTCTGATGAGAAATATCAGGGAAGATGAGTAACTGAAGCAACATTTCAGTTGTGCCTTCCAGCATGAGTAAAATTTTGTCTAGTGAAGATGGTAAATAGGAATGTTCTAAAGAGTCAGGACAGAACTTGGAGTGTTTCAGGAACACAAGGAGCCAGATTATGATGAACATATATATTTAAATGTGGAATGCACATAATTTCTTATAACAGAGAAAACACACGAGGTTATAATTGGTGTGATGATAACAATGTGTTCATTGATACTTTCCCTTAGATCACAACAAATCATTCAGTGATGGAAGAGCTGATGTCAATTACTGGTATAAATATGAAGATATTACCTTTTGTTGCCCAAGCAGGAGTTGTGACTGATTTTTTCATATTCCTCTGCATTATTTCTTTTTCCGCATTCATTTACTATGTATCAGTTAATGTTACCCAAGAAAGACAATACATTAAGTCATTGATGATGATGATGGGCCTTCGAGAATCAGCATTCTGGTAAGTTACATGGCCACAGCCTATCATGCAACATAGATAAACACAACAAGCTAGCTGGTTGGACTCCCTAAGCCTATGAAGTATCATATTTAAACTTGATTCTTTCCTAAAGCAGAGCATTATAAAGGAATGGAATAGATTCAAGTAAGCATGGTAAATAAAACTTTTCATACTTCTTTAAAGAAAGCCTGATCCTATAGATGTCTGCTGATACCCAAGTCAGTAAGCAATAAAAATGACTCTCAGTCAGTAGTTGCAAGACACGAGTGCACCCAAATATGTAAGAACTTGAGGTTTCTAATGTTTGATGAAATATACATTTCAGATATTTTGTGAGATCAGGTGGTTGATACCGCCCTCACACTGAATGATTCATCACTCTGATGACACTGATGGGAAAAAAGCCCATTATGCCCTTTCAGCACAGAGCTTCCTTAGTGGAGGACTAACAGAGTGGTTAGAACACAGGCCTGGGAGGCAGGAAGCTATGGGTCTTCTCCATCTGTCCATTACCATCCCAAACAAGCTACTTAATTTCTTAAAACTCAGTTTCTTTTTCTGTGAAACATTGGTAATGGCATCTGTCTCTCATTGGCCATGACGATTAAAGAAGGGAATGTATTTAAAGTGCTTTGCATTGAGCATAACAAAAATTAAACACTCAATATTAGATGACAGTTGATAGAAATTTGGGAAGGGTCAGAGTCTGAGAGGACAGTAGTAATAAGTTAAGAAACCAAGGAGTGAGGGATGCCTGGGTGCCTCAGTCAGTTAAATGTCTGCCTTTGGCTCAGGTCATGATCTCAGTGTCTCAGGGTCCCTGCATTGGGCTCCCTACTCACCCAGGAAGCTGCTTCTCCCTCTCCTGCTCCCCCTGCTTGTGCTCTCTCTCTCTCTCTCTGTCAAATAAATAAAATCTTAAAAACAACAACAACAAAAAAAAACAAGGAGTGAATCTCCAACTAACAACAAAAAAAAATTTAATGGGTTTAGCCAAGGGATGTATTTGAGATATAGAATAGTAAAAGCATGAATTCTGGACTGAAAAAGTCATGGTTTGCATTTGGTTTCTTTATATACTGATGTTATTCTCAGTGTAAACAAGATTTGTAGAATCTACAGAATAGCTCTGGACATATGCCATGTAGTCTTTAAAAGGACATTAGGGGAGGACAAGATGGCAGAGGAGTAGGAGACCTTAGTTTCATCTGGTCCTAGGAATTCAGCTAAATAGCTATCAAACCATTCTGAACACCTGTGAACTCAACTAGAGATCTAAGAAAAGAATTGCTTCAAAACTACAAATAGAAAAGTGACCACTTTCTGCAAGACAGAATGACAAGACAGAAAAACTCACCTCAAAAAGAACAAGGGGCAGTACTGATGGCTAGAGACCTAATCAGTCTGGATATAAGTAAAATGTCGGAACTAGAGTTCAGAATAATGATTATAAAGATATTAGCTGGGCTTGAAAAAAGCATAGAAGACACTAGAGAATCCCTTTCTGAATAAATAAAAGAACTAAAATCTAATCAAGTCAAAATTAAAAAGGCTATTAATGAAATGCAATAAAAAATGGAGGCTCTAACTGCTAGGATAAATGAGTCAGAAGAGAGAATTAGTGATAAAGAAGACAAAATGATGGAGAATAAAGAAGCTGAGAAAAAGAGAGATAAACAACTACTGTATCATGAAGGGAGAATTCGAGAGATAAGTGATACCATAAAGCAAAACAATATTAGAATAACTGGGATCCCAGAAGAAGGGGGGGGGGCAGAAGGTATATTGGAGCAAATTATAGTGGAGAACTTCCCTAATCTGGGGAAGGAAACAGGCATTCAAGTCCAGGAGGCACAGAGAAACCCCCTCAAAAATCAATTAAAATAGGTCAACACCCCAACATATAACAGTGAAACTTGCAAATCTCAGAGACAAAGAGAAAATCCTAAAAGCAGCTCAGGACAAGAAGTCCTTAACCTACAAGGGTGGAAACATTACACTGGCAGCAGACCTATCCACAGAGACCTGGCAAGCCAGAAAGGAGTGGCATCATATATTCAGGGTGCTAAATGCGAAAAATATGCAACCAAGAATACTTTATTCAGTTAGGATGGCATTCAAAATGGGAGAGATAAAAAGCTTCCAGAACAAACAGAAACTAAAAGAATTTGTGATCACTAAACCAGTCCTGCAAGATATATTAAAAGGGATCCTTTAAGTGAAGAGAGAGCCCAAAAGTAACATAGACCAGAAAGGAACAGAGACAGTATACAGAAACAGTGACTTTACAGGTAATTTAATGGCACTAAATTAATATCTTTCAATAATTACTCTGAATGTAAATGGGCTAAATGCCCCTATCAAAAGACACAGGGTATCAGATTGGATAAAAAAGCAAGACCCATCAATATGCTGCCTGCAAGAGACTCATTTTAGAGCCAAAGACACCTCCAGATTGAAAGTGAGGAAGTGGAAAACCATTTATCATGCTAATGGACATCAAAAGAAAGCTGGGGTGGCAATCCTTATATCAGACAAATTAGATTTTAAACCAAAGACTGTAATAAGAGATGAGGAAGAACACTATATCAAAATTAAAGGGTCTATCCAACAAGATGATCTAACAATTGTAAATATTTATGCGCCTAACATGGAGGCAGCCAATTATATAAAGCAATTAATAACAAAATTAAAGAAACACATCAATAATAATACAAAAATAGTAGGGGACTTTAACACTCCACTCACTGCAATGGACAGATCATCTAAGCAGAAGATCAACCAGGAAACAATGGCTTTGAATGACACACTGGACCAAATGGACTTCACAGATATATTCAGAGCATTCCATCATTCCATCATATTCCAGCATTCCAAAGCAACAGAATACACATTCTCGAGTGCACATGGAACATTCTCCAGAATAGATCACATACTGGGTCACAAATCAGGTCTCAACTGGTACCAAAAGATTGGGATCACTCCCTGCATAATTTTGGACCACAATGTTTGGAAACTGGAACTCTATCACAAAAGGAAATTTGGAAAGAACTCAAATTCATGGAGGCTAAAGAGCATCCTACTGAAGAATGAATGGGTCAACCAGGAAATTAAAGAAGAATTTTAAAAATTCATGGAAACAAATGAAAATGAAACACAACAGTTCAAAACCTTTGGGATGCAGCAAAGGCAGTCCTAAGAGGGAAGTATATAGTAATACAAGGCTTTCTCAAGAAACAAGAAAGATCTCAAATACACAACCTAGCCTTACAACTAAAGGAGCTGGAGAAAGAACAGCAAATAAAACCTAAACCCAGCAGAAGAGAATTAATAAAGATTAGAGCAGAAATCAATAAAATAAAAACCAAAAGAACAGTAGAACAGGTCAACAAAACTAGGAGCTGGTTCTTTCAAAGAATTAATAAGATTGATAAACCCCTGGCCAGACTTATCAAAAAGAAAAGAGAAAGGACCCAAGTAAATAAAATCATGAATGAAAGAAGAGAGATCATAACCTACACTGAAGAAATACAATTATAAGAACATATTACAAGCAACTATATGCCAACAAATTAGGCAATGTGGAAGAAATGGATGCATTCCTAGAAATGTATAAACTACCAAAACTGAACCAGGAAGAAATAGAAAACCTGAACAGACCCATAACCAGCAAGGAAATTGAAGCAATAATAAAAAATCTCCCAACAAACAAGAGTCCAGGGCCGGATCACTTCCCAGGGGAATTCTATAAAACATTTAAAGAAGAATTAGTACCTATTCTTCTGAAGCTGTTTCAAAAAATAGAAATGGAAGGAAAACTTCCAAACTCTATGAGGCCAGCACTATCTTGATCCTAAAACCAGACAAAGACCCCACCAAAAAGGAGAATTATAGACTAATATCCCTGATGAACATGGATGCAGAAATTCTCACCAAGATACAAATCAATAGGATCCAACAGTACATTAAAAGGATTATTCACCATGACCAAGTGGGATTTATTCCTAGGCTGCAAGGCAGGTTGAACATCTGCAAATCAATCAGTGTGATACACTACATTAGTAAAAGAAAGGACAAGAACCATATGATCCTCTTGATAGATGCAGAAAAAGCACTTGACAAAGTACAGCATCCTTTCTTGATCAAAACTCTTCACAGTGTAGGAAAACAGGGAACATACCTCAATATCATAAAAGTCGTTGGGCATCTGCCTTTGGCTCGGGTCGTGATCCCAGGGTCCTGGGATTGAGCCCCACATTGGGCTCCCTGCTCCGCGGGAAGCCTGCTTCTCCCTCTCCCACTCCCCCTGCTTGTGTTCCCTCTCTCGCTGTGTCTCTCTCTGTCAAATAAATAAAATTTACAAAAAAAAAAAAAAAAAGGCCATATACAAAAAGCCCACAGTGAATATCAATGGGGAAAAACTGAGAGCTTTTCCCCTAAGGTCAAGAACATGACAGGGATGTCCACTCTCACCACTGTTGTTCAACATAATACTAGAAGTCCTAGCCTCAGCAATCAGACAATAAAAGGAAATAAAAGGCAACCCAATTGGCAAAGAAGAAGTCAAACTCTCACTCTTTGCAGATTACATGATACTCTATGTGGAAAACCCAAAAGACTCCACCCCAAAATTGCTACAACTCATACAGGAATTCAGCAAAGTGGCAGGATATGAAATCAATGCACAGAAATCAGTTGCATTTCTATACACTAACAATGAGACAGAAGAAAGAGAAATTAGGGAGTCGATCCCATTTATAATTGCACCAAAAACCATAAGATACCTAGGAATAAACCTAACCAAAGAGGCATAGGATCTGTACTCAGAAAACTATAGAACACTCATGAAAGAAACTGAGGAAGACACATAGAAATGGAAAAATGTTCCATGTTCATGGATTGGAAGAACAAATATTGTTAAAATGTCTATGCTACCTAGAGCAAACTATACATTTAATGCAATCATATCAAAATACCAACAACTTTTTTCACAGAGCTGGAACAAATAATCCTAAAATTTGTATGGAACCAGAAATGACCCCAAATAGCCAGAGGAATGTTGAAAAAGAAAACCAAAGCCAGTGGCATCACAATTCCGGACTACAAAGCTGTCATCATCAAGACAATATGGTACTGGCACAAAAACAGACACATAGAATGTCAATGGGACAGAATAGAGAGCCCAGAAATGGACCCTCAACTCTATGGTCAACTAATCTTTGACAAAGCAGGAAAGAATATCTGATGGAAAAAAGACAGTCTATTTAACAAATGGTGTTGGGAAAATTGGACAACCACATGCAGAATAATGAAACTGGAACATTTTCTTACACCACACACAAAAATAGACTCAAAATGGATGAAAAACCTAAATGTGAGACAGGAATCCATCAAAATCCTAGAGGAGAACACAGGCAGCAACCTCTTCGACCTCGGCCACAGCAGACTTCTTGGTAGACACGTCTCCAAAGGCAAGGGAAGCAAGGGCAAAAATGAACTATTTGGACTTCATCAAGATAAAAAGCTTTTGCACAGCAAAGGAAACAGTCAACAAAACCAAAAGACAACCGACAGAATGGGAGAAGATATTTGCAAATGACATATCAGATAAAGGGCTAGTATCCAAAATCTATAAAGAACTTATCAAACTCAACACCCAAAGAATAAATAATCCAATCAAGAAATGGGCAGAAGACATGAACAGACATTTCTGCAAAGAAGACATCCAAATGGCCAATAGACACATGAAAAAGTGCTCAACATCACTCGGCATCAGGGAAATCCAAATCAAAACCACAATGAGATACCACCTCCCATCAGTCAGAATGGCTAAAATTAATAAGTCAGGAAACAACAGATGTTGGCAGGGATGCGAAGAAAGGGGAACCCTCCTACACTGTTGGTGGGAATGCAAGCTGGTGTAGCCATTCTGGAAAACAGTATGGAGGTTCCTCAAAAAGTTGAAAATAGAGCTACCCTATGACCTAGTAATTGCACTCCTGGGTATTTACAAAAAGATACAAATGTAGTGATCCGAAGGGGCACCTGCACCCCAGTGTTTATAGCAGCAATGTCCACAATAGCCAAACTATGGAAAAAGCCCAGATGTCCATTGACAGATGAATGGATAAGGAAGATGTGGTGTATATATATATATACAGTGGGATACTACTCAGCCAGAAAGGATGGGAGGAAGGAAGGAAGGAAGGAAGGAAGGAAGGAAGGAAGGAAGGAAGGAAGGAAGGAAGGAAGGAAGGAAGGAAGAAAGGAAGGAAGGAAGAAAAAGAAATCTTGCCATTTGCAATGACATGGATGGAACTAGAGGGTATTGTGCTAAGTGAAATAAGTCAGAAAAAGACAATTATCATATGATCTCACTCATGTGGAATTTAAGATACAAAACAGAAGATCATAGGGGAAGAGAGGAAAATATAAAACAAGATGAAATCAGAGAGGGAGAAAAACCATAAGAGACTCTTGATCATAGGAAACAAACTGAGGCTTTCTGGAGGAGAGTTGGGTGGGGGGTTGGGGTAACTGGGTGATGGACATTAAGGAGGGCACATGATGTAATGAGCACTGGGTATTATATAAGACTGATGAATAACTGACCTCTACCTCTGAAACTAATAATACATTATATGTTAATTGAATTTAAATTTAAAAAAATAAATAATTTAAAAAGGAAAGGACGTTAGACACTATTCAGTTGGGTAGGAAGACCCCACATTTTTAATGCTGCCAATTTAAACCAAATTTATTTTTTTTCCTCCAGAAATGTTCCATTAACTGAGTGTAAAAGTGGAGAAAATGAATTGCTGGTTTGATCTAGAATGGGAATTTTTCTGGTGTCTCTTTTTTTTAAATTCTGGAGCCCAATACTGAAGAAAATTTTGCTCACTATATTTTTTTAAAAAAATAGAAATCTACAGAGTCAGAGAAAAGTAAACAATATGATAAAAAGAAGGGAGAAACCAAATGAATCCAATGAGAGAAGGTTAAAAAAAAACAGGACTTTTCCTGCATAAGAAAAGACTAACATTCCATTGATACTACATATGAATGAAATTAGAAGTTTATGGGACACGGAGAGATGAACAATTTCAGATGAACAGAAGTGATTGAGCAAAGGGCATTGTTACAATTAGGCAAGACATGATGGCATTTAAACTTTGAAGTAAAGAAATTTAAGTGTTCACGTGGACTTGTTATAAACCAGTTGCCACATTAAACACATAACATACAACATTTTGTTTAATTCTCTTATTATTTTTCAATAGACAGTAAGGAAATTTAAAGAGATTCTACCTCTCAGATCATATAGTTACAGTGCAGCACAGAAAACCTGAACCTACATCTGTATGATTAGAAAGCTTGTTCTCTTTCCCCTATAAAAAACTTTCTTCCTGTTTCTTTGGCATTGATAGCAAGAAAAACATATCTTTGCATCCATCTGTCTTTCTGTATCTCTGTATTCCTAAGCCTAATCTGATTGTCTATATCGGTGGTTGGCAAACTATGGCCCTTTTTTGAACAATCTGCAAGCTAGGAATGGCTTTTATGAAAACGCCTAAAAAAAATCAAAAGAACAATAATATTTTATGGCACACAAAAGCATATATGAAATTCAAACATCATTGTCTACAAATAAATTGTTGTTGAAGCAGAGCCCAGTCATTTGAATGTTGTCCGTGAACACAAAGGCAGACTTCCGTAGTTGCAAGAGACCATATGGTCCAAAAAGCCTGAAAGATTTACTATCTGGCTCATCAGAGAAAAAGTTTGCTGATCCCTGCTTCATCATCTGGTTTTTGTCCCTGGTGTTTATACTTTACTGAAAGAAGAAGTCCAGAACGGACATGTCGGTCATAGATGTGTTTTCCCAGAAAACTGTTCCCAGTTACCCTCATTATATGACTCAGTCTATTTCTTTATTTTGCAATTAGTCACCTATTTTACCTGTGTACTTATTGTCTACTTTCCCCGGTAGCATATGAACTTTGGGGACAGAGAAGTTTTCTAATCTCTTAGCTCTTGATATAGGGTACTCCCTTTACTCTTAATATAGAGTAAGCTTCCCAAATCATTTGCAGAGTAAGTGCATAAATACAGTGATAAAGTACCAGCCCTTGAACTGATGCTTCGTTTCTGTGCTAGGCTCTCCTGGGGTTTGATGTATGCTGGCTTCATCTTTATTGTGGCTACTTTGATGGCTCTTATTGTAACATCTGCCCAAGTTGTCGTCCTGACTGGCTTTGTGGTGGTCTTCACCCTCTTTCTCCTCTATGGCCTGTCTTTGGTGAGTTGATAAATTTAATCTCTCTCTCTCTCAGAGAAACCAGTCATTTCTCACCAATTCTGGTCACACCTCTTCTGTTTCTGTTTGCAGTATATGAGTATTTGCATGAGACAGTATCTGGGGGGTGGGGGTGGAGGATTGGATGTTATATATTTTTATATTATGAAATTCTTTTTATTATGCTACTGATGATTCTCAGAGAATTATATACTACCTGAAGTTTTTCTCTCCTCTCAGATAACTTTAGCTTTCCTGATGAGCGTGTTGATAAAGAAACCTTTCCTTACTGGATTGGTTGTCTTTCTCCTTACTGTCTTTTGGGGGAGTCTGGGATTCACTGCATTGTACAGACATCTTCCTGCATTTTTGGAATGGACCCTATGTCTTCTTAGCCCTTTTGCTTTCACTGCTGGAATGGCTGAGGTAAGAGTTAATATAACTATTTCATTTTTTACAGAACATTAAAAAATTCTCTCTGAGGAATTCATGCTCTGTGTTCTAAGAATCAAAATCCTCATCCGCTTTTGTAAAGATACACATCCAAGGTATCGGGGAGGTTTTCATTTTTCTCTCTCAGCGTAACTGGCTTTATTTTAAGTCATTAATATAGGTTGATACTCTATTATCGATGTGGGTCAGCTTTTATTTTCAATGGGTTGTCCCAATGAACAATTAACTAATTTAGTGCACAGGAAACATGACCCTTAATATTATCGCAAGTATTTGAAAACCAGGAATTCAATGGAAATAAATTTTTCTTTTTAATTGGCCAGTTGTACATGAAACTGAACCTCTTCTCAGAAAATTTAATTCTAGGTGTGACATCGTAACTGTAAAATGCTACATGAAAGGTTACGTTATGTATAAACTCATTGCATCTCACTATAATAAGAAATTATTCTTGTGACCACTGAAGTACTTTCAGCTTTTCATGTTTTTACTTTCAAATAGTATCCCCTTTCTAGAATGCCCCTTTGCCCCCCATCCTACACCTGATGAAATCCTTAGGCAACCCCTCCTTTGAGTTTTTACTTCCCAGAGGATTTGCCTACTTCTTCCCAGGGGTCTCTAAGTCCTTAGTACCTACCTCCACTAACTTCCCAAATTGCTTTGTAGCTAGATGGATTCACTGCTATGTCTTCCAATAGATTAGAGCTCTGTGAAGACAGAACTGTGTTTTATTTATCTTTTTCAATCCCAGGGTTCAGCAGAAATAAGACAATAATAATTCCTAATACTCTGTTTATCTTTTTAAAATTCAATGTATGCATCTTTTTTTCCAGCTTATACATTTGGACTATGATGTGAATTCTAACATCCATTTGGATTCTTTAGACAACCCATACCTAATAACAGCTACTCTTTTCGTGTTGGTTTTTGATGCTCTTCTGTATTTGGCTTTGACATTATATTTTGACAAAATTTTGCCCAGTAAGTAGTAACCTAATTGTCATTCAATGCAATTTCATTCAGTGCATTTCTATAAAATAACTGTCTACAACATATCGGGTATAAATTATCAAGCATTTTTTTCCCAAAATTTCTAAAATGAGCCCAATGGTATTCTGCACTTTGTTTATAGAATCGCTTTCTAAGATCTTGTTCTACCACAATACTTTAAATTGTTTCTTTTTAAAAAGAGATGCTTGCAAGAGATGAAGGATAATTATACTATTAGTGCTTATATTAGCGCTAGATGAAGAAAGCTAGTGCTTGGGACTGGATCTTAAGGGTGTCTAAATACTTCCCAAAGCAGTTGCCTTGACAAGCTGTCCTGAGGTCACTAATCCTTAAAGTGGTGACTGATGCAATGTTCAATTGCCTCCTGTTCGTGTAGCTGAATACGGACATCGATGTTCTCCTTGGTTTTTCCTGAAATCCTCTTTTTGGTTTCAACACCAAAGGGCTGGTCATTTGGCCCTTGAGAATGAAATAGATTCAGATTCTTCATCCAACGACTCTTTTGAACCAGTGTCTCCAGAATTCCACGGGAAAGAAGCCATCAGGTAATAAATAAATTATACAAAAGTGCAAAGGGAGAACAGGTCAGGGACCAGAGGTCTATCTGGCAAAATACAGGTGTGACGAAGATTTCCTGGGTGCCTCTTTGTACCCACCTACATCCAGGCCATCCCACTCGTGAAATGCCACCATTGTTGTTAAAAGCACTTTGCTTTCCCACATTGTCAGCATTTATATTTACGAATATCTTATTGCAGAACAACAAACATCAAGGAATAAATAATCTTCATATTTCCATTTCTCTCATTTTCTTTTTGCTCTCTTCTTGGTGCTGTTCTCTCTCTTTCTGTGACTGCTGTCTTTATGACAGACATTGTCATTGCATCCCTTGTCTTTCTTCTCCTTTTCTCTGTGATTTACCCTGTCTCCCACCTCTTTGCTTCCCAATGAAGAATAGGAGAGGGAAGAGGGAGGTGATGCAGAAAAGGGGAGATAGGCATCCAGAGAGATGGGAAGAAAACCTAAGTAGGGTACTCATGCCGTGCATATCTTCCCTCTGAGATGATAGATGTGTTTTATTCAATGCTGATTGCTTTGTTTCCAAACAACTAGAAATCCCTAACTTCCCTGGGTCTTTGCTCAACCTTTGTTCATCATTCAATTTGCCATTGTCTCCTCAGGAAAGCCTTTCCCATCACCTGGGCCCGCATGAGGGAAAGAGCCCCCAGAATTTTCTCACAACCCCAAAGACTTGATTTCTCAATCCTCTGTCTACTTCCACTATGTCCTTAAAACATTTTCCTCTTTTTCTTTTTTTTTCAGAATAAGAAATCTTAGGAAAGAATATGGAAAAGGAAATCATGAAAAAGTAGAAGCCTTGAAAGGTAATGAACTAACATATTTACACGGCTGTTTGATTTGGTGACTACGCCTCATTGTTGCACTGTCTTTGTGGGGATAAAGAACAGATATATTCCAGACACCACAATTTTCCTTCATTTCAACACATTGCGTTTCCTTCTGAGTGAATGTAAAACCATAGAACAATTTTAGAAAGTCAGGGTGTGCCATCGATACCTTATAGGTTTGAAAGATGTATGGCTGCATCATGAAGTTCTTTATTTTCAACTCGTCACACTCCCTAATCCTAATAAACGATTTTTATTATAGTCAACCTATTTTTAATGACAAAACTGCCCTTATCCAAAAAATTGTTAATTACATAATAATATATCATGACAATGCTATAGCTTTAAAATGTGTATCATAGGAGATACAATTTTAAACGGAAGAATTTGGGGATGGATTTTATTTTGAATATTTCTAGCCAAATACACATGCTATAAGAAATTATAAAAATTTTGGAGAATGTGGGGCATCTAAGTGGCTCAGTTGGTGAAGTGTCAGACTCTTGATTTCAGCTCAGGTCATGAACTCAGGGTCCTAAGATCGAGCCCCATGTCAGGCTCCACATGCTGCCCGGAGTCTGCTTGAGATTCTCTCTCTTCCTCTCCCTCTGCCCCTCCCCCTGCTGTGCTCTCACTCTCTAAATAAAAAAATAAAATCTTAAAAAAAATTTTTTTTTTGGAGAATGTAAAGTTAACATGTAGGCTCTGAGTGGGATTTCTTTTTGTAATAATGCCAGGTCTGGTATTTGACATATATGAAGGCCAGATCACTGCCCTCCTTGGTCACAGTGGAGCTGGGAAAACGACCCTGTTAAACATGCTCAGTGGACTGTCCAAACCAACATCAGGTGAGAAGATAATTACAGGCAAGAACATGGACAAATAAATTAACTCCACATTTTATTAATTAGTTTTATTGGTTAATTTCAGTACTTAGTAGCTTCATTAACTACTAGTCACCCTCAGGTACTTAAGAGACAAGTTTTACAAGTTTCTTCAAGTTACTCTTTTAATAGATGTATGTTCTGTTTATTTAGGAAAATCTTTGTGGTTTAAATATTTCAAGATAAGTAGCTTTATGAATAGTCACTCCAACTGGTTCAGATAAATTGTGAACATTACATTTTTAGTCAATAGTGTATTCCTTATAGATCCAGTATGCTTAAAAGACTCTAGTGTTTGGGGGCACCTGGGTGGCTCAGTTGTTAAGTGTCTGCCTTTGGCTCAGGTCATGATCCCAGGGTCCTGGGATCGAGCCCTGCATCAGGCTCCCTGCTCCGAGGGAAGCCTGCTTTTCCCTCTCCCAATCCCTCTGCTTGTGTTCCCTCTCTTGCTGTCTCTCTCTGTCAAAAAAATAAATAAAATCTTAAAAAAAAAAAAAAAGACTCTAGTGTTTGACACCCATTGTTTTTCACTTTAAAACATCTTAAATGAACCATGGCATGTTATCCTGTTGCTAACTGTCAACCTTTCTACTTCTAGGTTCGGTCACAATCTATAATCACACCCTTTCGGAAATGACTGACTCCAAAACCGTTAGCAAGCTCACTGGAGTCTGTCCACAATCCAATGTGCAATTTGGCTTCCTCACTGTGAAAGAAAATCTCAGGCTCTTCGCTAAAATAAAAGGGATTCAGCCACATGAAGTGGAACAAGAGGTAGAGGAACATATTAGATGTCACACAGCCATGAACATGAAATTGTTTATCTAGAAAGTTCTAAATGTATTTATGTTATTTCTACATGGTGCATCATCAAAAGGGCAAAAAGGCCCTTGGCAACAAACAGCAAAATGATTGTGTTTTTAAAACAAACATGCTGGGTTTTGGACTAAACATCCTTTTCTCTTCTCTTCTCTTCTCTTCTCTTCTCTTCTCTTCTCTTCTCTTCTCTTCTCTTCTCTTCTCTTCTCTTCTCTTCTCTCCTCTCCTCTCCTCTCCTCTCCTCTCCTCTCCTCTCCTCTTCTTTTCTTTCCTTTTTGGTTAGATGCAACAAGTTTTAAGGGACTTGGAGATGGAAAATATTCAAGATATTCTTGCTCAAAATTTAAGCGGTGGACAAAAAAGGAAACTAACTTTTGGGATTGCCATTTTAGGAGACCCTCAGGTAAGTCGAGCCCTAATTATTGGTGAATGAGCTTGAGGACTGTGGAACTAGTGTATTCCATCCAACTGAATTTGCAAATGGTAAATATAAAAGAATTGTTCAAGTGAAAAATTAAGTAGTAAGATATTTCTCCCAAGCACTTTTACACATATATTGTTTTTTTAAAAAAAATTTACCTGAAAGTGGAAAATGATTTTATGTTTCCCTACTGTGCAGGTTTTGCTATTGGACGAACCAACTGCTGGATCAGATCCTCTTTCAAGGCACTGTGTATGGAACCTCCTAAAAGAGAGGAAATCCGATAGAGTCATTCTCTTCAGTACCCAGTTCATGGATGAGGCTGACATCCTGGCTGGTGAATTTTTTTTTTTTTTTAGATTCCACATATAAGTGAGATCATACAGTATTTGTCTTTCTCTTTCTCTGATTTATCTCAGCCTAATGCCTTCAAGTTCCATCCATGTCCTTTCGTGGTGGTTCTCGGTTTTCTCTCATGTGTCTTAGTGAGAAATTAGGGACATGAGTGAAGATGTGTAGATAAGTAGATAAGTTCCAACACACCTGCTATGGGTGTATGTGTGACTGTCATGAAGACAGGAGATTCTTGCTGTCATCCATTTGAATGTCTGCATCTCCATGTACATTGTCCCACACATGTATTCTGATCCTATTGCAAAGCAACTCATTGGTTGTAAATATATAGCATACTCTCAAATATATACTATGTTTTATTCAGTAGGAATGTCAGTTGGCTTGAAACAGATCCTCCCATTGTATGATAATTTTTCTCAACATACTAGAGAATAAACTAACATATCATTTAGGTTATTGGATAACAAAGAAATTGGCTTATGTACGACCAGAATTAGAATGCAAATATTTTAGTGGGTCATGCTCCTAAAATGCATTATTTGGTAATGGATTTGTTCTTTTATAAACAGTGAGAGAATAACCTCTTGATACAATGCATTGTTTTTCTTTTCTGCTTAGATAGGAAGGTGTTTATATCCAATGGGAGGCTGAAGTGTGCGGGCTCTTCTCTATTCCTGAAGAAGAAATGGGGCATCGGCTACCATTTAAGGTACAACCTGTGTTGTTGGAGACATATTAGAACATGTTGCAGACAAGAGATCGTATTAGTATGTTAAAGTAGGCTACAAAATTATTAAGATCATTTCAAGAGCGCTGTGTTAGAACAACTGATCTCTTGCTTAGCTAGAACGAAGGGCAGGTGGGATTGTAGACATGGAGACTACAAGGATGATTAAGCTAAGTTTAAACAACATTTTTGGAAAATATTTTCACAACACATTGTTTGCAAAGAGAAATTTAATGGCATTCCAACCCTCTCTCAACATTTTTCCAATGCTTCTTTTTGTTCATTATGACAATTTCGAGTCTCCTCTCTGTTCTCCCTGACTTCATCTTCTCCCTCATTCTTTTCTATCTTCTTCTCTTCCTGATAGTAATTAATATCATTATTAATTATTATTATTATTGTTATTATTATTAAGTAATGTCTATCACTTATTCCATATTGGCTATGCTCTAGGTTCTTGCTAAGATATTTACATATGGAATACTCATATAATCATATTTAATCCTTCAGATAACTGTAAGAAGATGGTATTGTTAGCCTCTGACATGTCAGGGAGTTTTAGTAATATACCCAATCTCACATTACTTGAAGTGGTAGACTCTCTGGGCCAAGATTACAGGTGTGATATGAATCTCTCCCTATACTTCCTGCTAAAATATTAGTGTTTCTTTTTTTTTAAAGATTTTATTTATTTGAGAGAGAGAATAAGAGAGAGAGAGCATGAGGGGGGAGGGTCAGAGGGAGAAGCAGACTCCCTGCTGAGCAGGAAGCCCGATGCGGGACTTGATCCTGGGACTCCAGGATCATGACCTAGCTGAAGGCGGTTGCTTAACCAGCTGAGGCACCCAGGGGCCCAGTATTAGTATTTCTTAAAAAATAACTTAAGGCACTTTATCCTCAGAGGTTAAATGTATTATGTACATTATTTACTGAAGGTTTAATCTGATCAAATCTACCATTCCATCATGATTGCTTGGTACAATCTAATTGAATCAATACCTTCCAACTAAAATGGACCCCTCACTGTTTTCTAAGTATGTTCCGTGATTTAGTTGTCTTCTCTCTGCTCAAGGGAGGATGTCTGTTTGACATGTCCTCCTCCAACCCATTTTAGCCAAGTTCAAGTCTTATCCATTCTTGAAAGTCTTTTTTGAATATTTTCTCCTTAATAAGCATCCTCTTTTCTGGAACCTGGGCAGCACTATTTTGAACTGTTGCCTCAGTCAGCTTAATTAACTGGTCTTTGATCCTCAGTGATTTCATTTATATAATAGTGGTAATAATATCCACATTGCTTACTTGACTTAACTTCCCTCTTCCTCACTTCTTCTATAATATGCTGCTTTATTTGACTGCTATGTTCCAAGCTCCTCCAGGGAAAGTTCTGTATTCTTTCTGTTTGGGATCCTGGATCGTGTATTGCATTGGGCCTTGTAAACACAGAATAGTTTTACCTAAAATTGATTTTTTAGGTTTGTATCATCAAAGTGATGTCCTCATCATTTGATAGCCCCAGTAAATTTCAGTGGATGTGACTAATAATGGTGCTTCTAAAATCTGATGATTTCATGAAGAACTTTACATGTTCTCACCAAGAAGACAGATCAGCTTTGAGTCGAATAAATTTTGGACAATAAAAATGATAAAACCAGCTAACATATATTGAAGGTTTACTTGGTGCAAGGCTCTGTGTGATCACATGCATACTTTATATTAATCTGTCTTTTGAAATTCTTTGAGAACTGAGTATAAGAACACTGATTGGAATTTTGATGGAAATTTGATACTGGAAGACCTTAAGTCTGAGTTCTGGAATGTGGATCAGTGGGACATTAGGACCATGTTCTTAATGACTCTATCAAGTTACCCCTGTGTCTGTGTTCACCATGTTCAAGTCTTAGTTTTTGCAAAACCCATACTTTACTGCAAAGGGGAAATTCAAAGCTGAGCTTTTGGATAGATGGAGACAAAATCAGGCATTTCCTCCACCTCACTTCAGCCAACATCTAGCTGAATATATCTTTCCTCCAAATAATAATCCTTGAGTTATTATCCCTTATACTAGTGTCTCTAGATTATCTAGTTTGGACTATATTAATGTGGACTATCTTTGGACAATTTATTTTTAAGTCTTGCTTCTTCCATTAGATTATATATATATATGCATATATATATATAGTCTATATATATATAGTCTCATAAATATTAATGAAGTGACAAACATACTACAATTGTTTGTAGAGATGGTATTGGATAAAAATAGCATTAACATGCTCTTTTTAAATGTCAGTTTGCATCTGAATGAAATGTGTGATCCAGACAATATAACATCACTTGTTAAACAGCACATCCCTGATGCCAAATTAACAGCACAAAGTGAAGAAAAGCTCATATATATTTTGCCTTTGGAGAGGACAAACAAATTTCCAGGTAACAGAACATAGAGACCACAGAATGATTTATAGTGATGTTACTAATGATAACGGTGGCCCCAAGAATGATGGATGACATTTTTATTCTTGCTAAGTGCATGGCACTGTGCATAATCCTTTAATATTCCCCAAAGTTACTGCTAATATTAGCCCCTGATATTATCCCCAGATCACTTATGAGGAAACTGAGGCAAAAGATGCTAAATATGCTTCAAGCGGCAATCTGGGCAGTTAAGAGGTACAGGACCACATCAAGCTAAAATTAAGAATATTTGGGACATTTGTTTCAGGAATGAATGAGAGAACCTGGTCCGGCAAGGAGGGGTCTGTGAAAACAGCATAGAGTGTTAAATGGGAGCGAAGGGAATGGTACGCTGCCACATGTAGATGGTTTTATTATAAACACCGTGACATAATGTTATAATCTAAGTAACCGAATAGTAATTATGATCAATTCTAAACTCACAGCTTTGCCGCAAATACGGAAGCCTGGAGGCTCATTGCCATTCCCACTTTTCTACCTGGTCTCCCAATATGATTTCATTTGCCAAGAGTTTTGAGGTAGACTGCATTTAAAAAAAAAAAGTATAACCATAGAATGTGTTTATTTTGAGTTCAAGGAATTTGCCAGCTTTTAATGGAGGATAATGGCTCCGGGGCTGCCTGCTTGAATCAATAAGCCTGCCATAATCATGGTTCATAAAGAAATATAGTACTAGACAGTAGGGTGTGGTGATTGAAAGCTGGGATACTAGAGCCAGACTGGGTATGTTCAAATCCCAGCAGAGCTGTCAGGAGCTCCATTATTCTGGACAGGTTATATTACCTTTCTGTACTTCAATTTCCCTGTTTGTAACAAGGGAATAATGAGAGTACTAACTTTATAGGATTCTCATGAGGATTAAATTATTTAATATATTTAAATATATTCTTAAAATATTAAAAATAAGCACAGCACCTGGAATCATACCTGACATAGAAGCTATGGTTATTTCTCCAAGTCTAAGACAGCCTCAGCTCTAGGATGTGTTACCAAGAAAGAAACAGACAATGACATACCAGCATTTGTGATACATTCTCATTTCAAATATGGTAAAAGATGATGAAATGTATTATCTTAGAATCAGTGAGATCACAGCAGTCTTAGATGTGTATACCATGTCTTTGATATACGTAACCTATGGAAGCAGAAACCTTTATGAAACCCACAAAGCAAAGTGTTACCTGATTATTTGTTAAATGCATTTCAAAGGGGAATGCACAATTTAAAGAAAGACTGAAAAAGAACCAACACTTAGGAATCATGACTACATCTGTATTTTTATTTATCTAACATACCCTTAAGATAGATACCTTTAATTCCTCCCAATATTTGAATTAGTTTATCCTTTATTCTACTTCACATTTTCTTGAACTTCCCCCAAACTATTCCCAGTATCTTAAAAAAAAAAAACCTGCCAAATGACCTACTAATCCCTATAAAGACCTACCTTCTTTTTAAAATTTTTTTGCAGCACAATGTCCCTTTTTTTATTTAAATTCAATTAATTAACATATAGTGTATAATTAGTTTCAGAGGTAGAGTTCAGTGATTCATCAGTTGCATATAATACCTAGTGCTCATTCTATCATGTGCCCTCCTTAATGCCCATCACCCAGTTACCCCATCCCCCTACCCCCAGTCCCCTCCAGCAATCCTCAGTGTGTTTCCTATAGTTAAGAGTCTCTCTCTTTTTTTTAAAATGTTTTATTTATTTATTCATGAGAGTCAGAGAGAGAGAGAGAGAGAGAGGCAGAGGCAGAGGGAGAAGCAGACTCCCCGCCTAGCAGGGAGCCCGATGCGGGACTCGATCCCAGGACCCTGGGATCATGACCTGAGCGGAAGGCAGACGCTTAACCATCTGAGCCACTCAGGCGCCCTAGTTAAGAGTCTCTTTTGTTTTGTCTCTCAAGACCTACCTTCTTTGAAGGCTCTTGTGTAATCTTCATACCGTGGTCAGAAGCTGAAAAAGAGAGATAAAGTAAATGCAAAGTTACATACATACTTCATCCTTTCCTTTAACTTATATATTTCTCTAAACTAGGGAAGATTGTGCAGCACCTAATTATTTCTATAAACATTAGTTATTTTGCATTTGTTATTTTACTGCCTACTAGTTATTCCTAAGAGCATTCTTCTCTCAGTTTTTGGAATAATATTCCTGAATTAACAAGGTTTTAGAATTTAATATTTCCTACCTTAGTCAGTTGGGGGTGCTATAACACATACCATAGGCTGGGGGGCTTACAAACAGCATACTGATTTTTGATGGTTCTTTAGGCCGGGAAGTCCAAGATCTGGGTTCCAGCACCTTTGGGTTCTAGTGAATTACCTCTTTGGGGTTACAGAGTGCAGACTTCTTGTATTCCCATATGGCAAGAAGCAGGGAGAGGAAGCCAGCTTTCTTGTGATTCTTTCAAAGGTATTAATCCCATTAATCAAAGCTCCACCCTCAGAACTTCATCTAATCCTAATTACCTCCCAAAGCCCCCACCTCCTAATACCATCACACCTGGAGGGTAGGGTTTCAACATACGGATTTATGGGAGACCACAAGCATTCAGTTCATTTATTACACTCCCATTATCAAACAGAATTAATTTTTAAAAACAGAATAAATAAAACATAGTATTTCTTAAAGAACTCTGCATATGTAGCTTTCCAAGAATGAAACATAGATGATTACAATTTTATACTCAAGACATGGACACACACTATATAGGTTATTTTAGAAATAAGGAAATGTCTCTATCATAGCTTTGTTTCTTATGAATGCTTTTGGCCCATCACACATGTTCTCTATTGTTGAAAGATATAGTTACTATCAATCTCATTACAAATTATATTCTTCTAATGCATTTTTCTGACTACTTTTAGATCTTTACAGGGATCTTGACAGATGCTCTAACCAGGGCATTGAGAATTATGGTGTTTCCATGACAACTTTGAATGAAGTGTTCTTGAAATTAGAAGGAAAATCAGCTATTGATGAATCAGGTAAAAACAAAAGAAACTTCAATTTTATCTTTCTGTAGAATATTCTATTTTGAAAATATACTTTGAATGATGAGGTTGTATGCTTTTGGAGGTGCTCTGATTCAGTCTGGTCTTGGGAAAACTTAGAGCAGAGAAGAGATATATTTCTATCTCCTTCTTCCCTTTTCTCCCAGTACTGGTCCCCCCTCTTAAATTCCTTATTTTGTACTATGCATTTTACTAAGGGTGTGGGATATAGCAGTGTACAAGACTAGGTCCTCATGGAGTAGACAATAAATATATAATGTAAGTGCTGTAGAGAGAAAGAAATTAAAATTGTATCTTGACAGTTAACTTTTCTTGTAACATTTTGAGGCTACTGTTCCAATATCTTCAGGGTTACATTGTTGTTATTGGAAGGATTTGCTGTTGGTATAATTGCCATTCCTTGGAAAGTCCTCTACTTGATCTAAGATAATTCCTTGTTTCCAGTTTACTCTTTTCTATGTTCTTTTTTTTTTTTCCATTTTCTATTTTTTATTGATTGAGTGGGTTTTTAAAAATACCTCTTTCCCTCTTTTATCCACTTTTGAAGTTATATACTTGTGGTTATGCTTAACTTTTAATATACATATACTATAGCTTTCTCAAAGTCTAGAGCTGATCAGTTTCTCTAGGCTTGTCTTCCAAAACAGGTAACTTTTTTCTTGTTTTCAACCATGGCTACATGAAAAAATATTGTCTCTACCAATTTTATACCCTTGGAAGGGGATGGGGAGGGTTCTATATATATACCAACTCTTCCACCTTAGTCAGAAATACTGATAGTTTATTTTTTGCAATGAGTAGATTTTTCTAGGCTAAAAATGGGTTTCTTTTCATTGATTTCCCTAGAATAAATTAAGTCCTTAAAGCTATAGACATAAACCTTTTTAAAAAGAAAATACAAGATTTCTTTCATTATGTCATTAGTTTTTCTTCTTGTATTATGCCTTTTTTTTTTTTTTTGCTCTGTTTCCTTTTCTTTGGTAGTTACTCTCATAATGCCATGAATTCATTTATTAGCATCTTTGCCCAAGATTCTCTACTCCAACACCATTTGGTGAAAAGATGGTCATAGAAAAATCTAAGTAATGCACATCTAAAATGACACATTATAAATTATTAATTTTATGTTTTATAGATGTTGGAATTTGGGGAGAGTTACAAAGTAATAGGACAAAAGACACGGGAAGCCTTGTTGAGCTGGAACAAATTTTGTCTTCCTTTAAGGAAACAAAGAAATCAATCAGCGGCATGGCTCTCTGGAGACAGCAGCTCTGTGCAATAGCAAAAGTTCGCTTCCTCAAGTTAAAGAATGAAAAAAAAACTCTGTTGACCATGTGAGTACCCAAGTGTTTCAGATATGTTGGGTTAGTGCTCTCAAAATAAATTCAAGGGGAAAAAAAACCAAAAACAAACAAATAAACAAACAAACAAAACACAAAAAAACCCTCTGAGATAAATTCCAGCAATTGCATGTGGTCTTTTTTTAACACAGAAAACAATTTCCAATTGCTTTGGTGGGTATGTAATTAAACCCGGTAAAGTTTGGGCTTTTTCTCTTAATTTCACACAGAATCTGCTCTTATCCAAGGGTTGAAATCGTTTTTCTGAAGCATGGAATTTAGCACTTGGGTCCCATCCCCAGGACTTCCTCTTTGCCCAAATAGCCCTGTGCCAGGCTGGATCTGAGCCATCCACTCTCTGGAACCTGCTTCATGGTTCACACATTTCCCTATAGCTTCGGGCTGTTCATTGAGTAATACCTCCTTGCAAAAATCCTGCTCTCCAGCCAGGAATCATTCATTAAAAAATATTTGTTAGCACTTCTGCATAACACTCTATGTTAAATATCTGTAACACTTATCAAAATAAATCAGACATGAGATTTGGCTCTTGAAGGTAATTAGAAGTACACTCAAAACCATAGCATAAGATTAGACAATATTGTCAACCAGAACATTCAGTATGTGAAAGATTATGTTCCAATATGGGCATCAGAAAAATTGTTTTATATGAGGGAGAAATGGAGTCTGGTGTAGGAAAATGTAACAGTTAGCCAAGGAAAGAAAGGAGGATGGAAATTCAGGCAGAGGGGGCAATACCGAGTATGGAGATACATGAAAACTCAGAAGAGCTATTATCAGTTTGAGTTGATTACAACATAAAGGATCCAGAAAAGTAAAAAATAATTTTGATAACGTATTACATACAGCTGAAGAGTTTGGGCTTTATGACTAGTAAGGAAGTATTGAAGTTTTCTTTTTTGTTTGAAAAGATGATTGGCATAATTAGAACAGATTGCCAGGGAGGGGCACTGGGTGGCTTGTCTGTTGGGCATCCGACTCTAGATTTCAGCTCATGTCATGATCCCAGTGTCGTGAGATCCAGCCCTGTGTCAGATTCTGCACTCAGCAGGGAGTCTGCTTGGAGATTTCTCTTTCTCTCGCCCTCTGCCCCTCCCCCACTTGCACTCACTCTTACTCTCTCTGTAAAATATAAAATAAAATAAACAGATTGCCAAATTGCACTTAATTGGGCAACAGTGCAAAAATGGCTCAGAAATAGTAGACTCTGGAGACAAGGAAAACAGTCATTGAGGACAATACTGAAAGAGGTCAGGAGAGAGACAATTAAGGTCCAAACTTGAAAAGTGGAAGAGAAAAGTTTTTAGGCACCTAATAATGATATGATAGAAATTTTCAGCTGTTCAGAAAAGAGACTTAAAGGAGACAGATTAGTGGAAAATGATCCTTGGGAACTTGAGTGAATGAGAAAACGTTGTAATTTATACAAATTGGGAACAGAAAGGGAAAAAGTGTCAGAGTGTAGTACGTTTGAGTGTTGGTGGTATGCCTGTGTTCAGTGGTCTAGAAAAAGGAAGAAATGCAAGATGGAAACAGAGGAAAGAAGTAGGAATTGGAGAGATATTTAAGAGTCATACCTAGCCAACATCATGAGCTTGAGTGACATGTCCAAAATGGGGGGGTGGGCGGAGGAGAGGCATTTAGAGAGATAGAAAGACCAAGCATAGATACTTAGGAACCATTTCATTTTAGAAAAAAGAAATAAGGGGTGGGGGTGGGAGGGGAAGCATGATTCCTATATTTGATTAGTGCTTAGAATTTATTTCTATTTTAATATCCAGTATCTACTCAAACTTAAAAATCTACAAACGTTGCTATAGATTTTTTTTTCTTTTACATTTTCCTCCATGTAGATTATTGCTTTTTGGCATCAGCTTTTGCCCTCAGCTTTTGGAACATCTATTCTATGAGTTATATCAAAAAAGTTATTCTTGGGGACTGACTCCTAATATGTACTTCCTCTCTCCGGGACAACCACCTCAAGCTCCTCTGACCCACTTACTGGTAATCAATAAAACAGGTAAACATAGAGCTAAAATGTAACTTTTCAGTGTTGTTCTTCTTGAGAGATTCCCCAGACAACATAAACCATGAGGGGAAAAATAAATTCTGTATGTTTTAGAAAACACATATGAGGCCAAATAGGAAATTAATTTTAAAAAATGAAAAATTCAAGGTTGGGAAGTTTATTTTAGAAACACATCTTGCAAGGTTACTTAAATCCTAAAGTTGATTGCACCGAGCAACCAAAGGGGATTTAGTAAGATAAATCATTGACTGATCTTTGAGGCCTTTCCACAACATTTTTGAAGTACTGTGCATTCTTGGGCACTGGAAAAAAATCTGTTCCAAATTTCTAAGAAAATAGAAGATTAATATCTTTAAGGATTATGATGTTAACTTTAAATAGTATTTTTACACTAACAGAAATTTTATGTAAATGGCTAGGCTCTAGGGAAAGTAATCTTGTCCCATCTTTGATATCAGAATGGATTTTGGTATCATAGCATCATTTCTGCCTTCTAAGGAAATCCTTAGACAGTCTTTTATTATGGTATGCTTTGGGTGACATCATTTAGTTTACTTTAGGGGTTTTTTTGTTTTGTTTTGTTTTGTTTTTTATTATTACTTGCCTGTTGTTTTACTTCCCTCTTGCTTCTTTTGATTTTTACCTTCATGATAGGGTCAAGTATTGATAACTTTATACATTCACTGAGGCAACAGAACATAGCTTTGGAAGTGGATGCCTTTGGAACTAGAAGTGGCCCAAACGAGCTATCATACAATGGTGTTATCACTGTGTCAGGTGATGACAAGGTATGTTGGGTTCTGACTGTTGCATCTCACCAAAGATGGGGTATGGACGCCATTTGAATAATACCTAACAACGGACATAAAAGGCCAATTTAACACAAACAGATGGGATATCTCTCATTTGTAAGAGGAGAAGTTGTACTGCAAATATTTGCCCATAGCTTCCATTATAACAACACAGAATGAAATGCTGTTTGATTTTATTCCTCATTAAATTGTATGCACTATTATTAACAATGAATTTAAATCTTATTATAGATTGTATTCCATTCTAATAATGAACTTAAATCTTATTCTCAATTGGATTTCAACTCAAATGACACTTTGAGGAATCCTCTAATAAGAAGTCTGATTAATATCTATCGTGAACTGCAGCTCCATTACCAAAAAAAAAAAATTGTTCTTAATTTTTTTACAGTAGACTTTTGTTTATTTTTTATGGGAAAAAAGCTCAAGTCTTGGCTGCTAAACTTTATACAAATGGGTCAAATCTTTAGATAAATATTTATATTCAGCTATCTGATATTAAAAAATTTCTGTTTCCGGGGCACCTGGGTGGCTCAGTCAGTTAAGCAGCTGCCTTCGGCTCAGGTCATGGATCCTGGGGTCCTGGGATCGAGCCCCACGACAGGCTCCCTGCTCAGCGGAGAGCCTGCTTCTCCCTCTCCCTCTGCCTGCCACTCTGCCTACTTGTGCTCTCTATCTCTCTGTCAAATAAATAAATAAAATCTTTAAAAAAAAATTTCTGTTTCCTACAACTTGCAGTTCATGAATCAACAACAGTGGATCACCTAGGAGCTTGTTAGAAGTGCAGACTCTCAACTAATGAATCATTGAACACTACATCAAAAACTAATGATGTACTATATGTTGGCTAATTGAACATAATGATAATAATAAGTAAATAAATAAAAATTATGTGCCAGATGTTGAAAAAAAAGAAAAGAATTGCAGACTCTTAGCCCCCACTCCAGACCTACTGAGTATTTGCACTTTAATAAAATCTGCGGATTAGTACGCTCACTGAAGTTTGAGAAGGACTGCCTTATTTGGCAATATTTAAGATTGGTGTATTTCTTATAAAAATTTACATTTCTGCTTCCCTTGAAAAATCCCTCCATATGCTAATTCTGGCAGTCTGTGGTTGGAATTGAGAAACAGTTGCCCAGTTTAGACTTGGACTTTACTTGCCAAGTTGCTCTATCCCCATGCTGCTTCACGCATGTATATGACCTGCCTAGACCCTGTGGGAGTTTGGGGAGAAATCCCTGTGACAGACAAATGAAAAAAGATAACAAGAGAGTGTTATATGTGTAAGCCACAGCAGGTAAATGTTACAACGCTTGACCATTTGCAACTTGTCGGAGTTAATTTTCAGAAATAATTTGTGTGCCAATAATAAAATTAGAAATTACCTTTGATCAAACTGGTCTTTGGTATGTTTTAATCAGGCTAGTTTCCAGTGTGCTCAGAAAAATAGTTTAAAAAATGGCATTCTTAATATCAGTAAACATTACTTTAAGTAATTAGATTAGATACAATCCATGTGATTTATTTGTGATTGCAAAAATGAATGCCCAAATAATAACTTACTTACATTCTTTTTATTTGGGCAAGAAGTAATCATGTTATATATATGTATATACACGTCATATATTTTATATAATATATAGAGAGAGATGTAACATTTTTTACCATATGTCTCCCCCCCAGTTTTATTAAGATAAAAGTAATATACAGCACTGTATAAGTCTAAGGTGTACAGCATTATGACTTACATATACTGTGAAATGATTTTAAAATGTCATTTTAAAAGAGATTTTTTTTAAAGATTTTATTTATTTATTTGACAGAGAGCGAGACAGTGAGAGAGGGAACACAAGTAGGGGGAGTGGGAGAGGAAGAAGCAGGCTTCCTGCCAAGCAGGGAGCCTGATGAGGGGCTCAATCCCAGGACCCTGGGATCACGACCAGAGCCGAAGGCAGACGCTTAACGACTGAGCCACCCAGGTGCCCCTAAAAGAGATTTTTACATGCAGCATTGCTACTGCAAGCTCAGTATTTGTGAAAACCTATGCTTTCATTACAGTAGCTGCCTGCCTTCTGCTTCCAAGTATCCACGCATTCTTAATTTATAAAGTGCATGTGTCACATTTTGAAAGGAAGCCTACTGCCATGTCAAAGAGACATTGCTTTGTGGAGTTTTATGGTATTGCTGCTAAAAAGCATCTGAGGTATTTCATTTTGTGAGCATTTAGGCATAAATAGCCACACGGCTGATGCTATGGTCAGTAAGAGCAAAATACTGAATTATTCCTTGCGGTATATCGGGAATTAATCAAATAATATGGGTGATGGTGATATTAATCACATTTAGTGCTTTAGCCTTCCTGTTTTGTCAATAATTCGAACGATTTTCTACCATATTCTTTCATTAAATTTTGTATTTGCTTTCTGAGGACTCAGAATGCATATTTGTTACATTTTAGGATCACAGGTTCTCAATAGCATGTAACACAAAAAGGCTGAATTGCTTTCCTGTCCTCATGGATATCATCAGCAATGGGCTACTTAGAATTTTTAATTCTTCAGAACACATTCGGACTGACAGAAGCACATATTTTGAAGTAAGTATAATTTTTTAGAGGGGGGGGCAGAGGAAGAGAGAGAGAGAGAGAAAGAGAGAGTCCTAATCAGGTTCCACGCCCACCTTGGAGCCCGATGTGGGGCTCGATCCCACAACACTGAGATCATGACCTGAGCCGAAATCAAGAGTCGGATGCTTAACCGACTGCACCACCCAGGCGCCCCTGAAGTAAGTATAATATTATCTCACTTATCCTGAACTTTAAGGAGTTTTCAAGAAGACACTTGAAATGCTGAAATAACATCATGTTAATTTTTGTGAACTTGTTCTTGAATAAGTGTATGTCTTACATACATGTAGTTTACATTTACGGGTTTATACACACACCTATATACATACACACTATCTAGTAATGACTATGCAACATTATAACCCGAATTGGATGACTTGGGGTCAGTGGAACAGCAGAAAATACAATTAGTTGAGGAAAAGAACTGACAAATTTTCATCTCAGATCTGTCACCGTCTGTTGCGGTAGGTAATGGGACCTCGTTGAAACAGTCAGAGTCTTAAAGGCCAGACAGTGTGGCCATAACAACTTGACCTTCTGTAGCCCTTGGCTCAGCAATCCACAGGAAAAAACTACAGATAAAAACTTCATCTCAAAGTTTTCTTAAGAAGTAAATAAGGCAACGTGAGTAGGAGGTGCAGTTGACTGAGTTAAAGGCAATGAGTAAGGCACAAAAACATCGGAAACCACAGGCGCTCGATAAACTGCTCTTGTGATCACTATTGCTATTTGTATTATTTTTCTTTGGAGTGCATCGAGTTTCCATCAAAGAACGTTCAGCTTTGACTAGATCAGCAGACAGGCTGAACTGGAAGCAGTTTTTGCTTGAATTACAGTTTGCCAGGCCTGCTCAGATCTTGAGTCAGAATCTCCACAGAACCTCCACACGCCGCAGTGGGGGAGGGTGGGCAGCTCTATCATCTCGCCATTTTGAATCTCCCTTCGCCTTCTTGAAATGACACCATGGGCATACCCTACAGCTCCCTGGTCACTCTTCGTTATTGAGAATTATTCCAGTGCTGTCCAAAACTCCAATTTCCTATCCAATTCAAACACTGCAGGGTCAATTTGTGGCCTAATGGCGGTGGACTGGGTGGGTGGGCAGTGGTGGGCTTTGCCCTTTCCCCCCCTTTTCTAGTCTAACATCCTGGAGTAGAAAGGAGAGAGTGACCTTGCTCAGACTCCCCACCCCCTTTTTTCTCCACTGCTGGGGCTGGAAGCAGAGAGGAAAGATGGAGAGGTTAAGACAGGAAGAAATGCTGCTCTGGAGACATCCTGCTTTCTCTAGTTGTATCTACTACCTGTAGCTTCTGCGTATGTGGCCGCCACAGCCTAGGTGACCTGCCTGATTGTCTTGGGTAGTATTTAGCTTTGACTCCAGTCGCTTGTGTAGAGGAAGATGCACTCGATGATGCAGAGCAGAATTTCCCTTCGGCTGCTACAGAGATGCCCTCACTGTCAAGCTCTCTCTCCTTTCCCTTGTTCATTGCTTGATGTGGCCATATGCAGGTAGTTAACTTCCACCCCTGCGTTAACCTCTGTGCTTCTTCAGAAAGAGCTGTAAGAACTGTTGAGTGCCTCTTGCATGCTGTTGGAAAGCTATAGAGATTTGGGGGTGCGGGGGGGGGGCTGCCCCACATTCTTCATAACCCTAATTCACATATTTGAATGACTTAGTTAAGATTAAGCACAAATGAACCAGACGTCCAATTGCTAGCAGTTCACGTGTTCTGCATGATTTTAGGAGCACACGTCTTATGAGCATGGGTACCTGAGCAATGCCTTCTTCTGGATACCTGTGGCGGCCTGTTTTACTCCTTACATTGCGATGAGCAGCATCGGGGACTATAAAGTAAGAAGAGTTAACAAAGTCCTTGCATGTTCTTATTACTCAGAGACCCCTTCTCCACTCTATGACTGTACATTTCTATGGAGGTGGTGCACCTAATTTATATGCTTTTAATAAAAGGTTGGCAAGTATGAAGAAAATGTTATTTTTCTTAAACAACTGTGAGACCTCAGGAAGGACAGCTGAGGAGTATCATCAGCTAACAGGGAATGGCAGCTTTCATCTGGTTTATCACTTAGATTTTTATTGGTAGTCACGACCCTCTGACATTATCACAATGCCTCTCTCAGCGATGGTTTTGCTTTAAGATTGTGGTGAAGTTACTCAGTTAAACAGTCCTAACCAACTCACCACAGCATTTTGGCTTATTGTTGAAAAAGGCTGCCCCTTTCAAGATTCATTTTAGCTTCATTCGATTGGAACATACTTGTACTAAAATTTTTTTTATAGGATATTTATCTAAAGCCCAAATCGAATTGGCAACTCCGTGATATTGGTATCTCTCCTTAACCTCCATAGCCGGCTAATGGTGAAGTCATGGAATTTGCCTCTGAAATATGTCTAAATCTTTCCACATTCCTCCATCTCTCCTCAACACCCTAGTGAGATCCACTATCATGTCTCTCCTGGATGAGCACATCAGCCTCCTTAACTGCTCGCTGTGGATCCCCATTAGTCTTCTCCTTACCCATTCTCCACCCAGTGAGACAGAGCAATTACTTAAAAACGCGCACCTGACCATGTTGGTTACCTGCCTAAGTCCCTCCAGTGGTTTCTTGGCAAACCAAAGAGCAAGAATGAAATCCTTGCTGTAGCCTGAAAAGCCGTGCATGATCTGGACCTGGACGTCTTTCTCCACTTTGATCTGACACCACTATTACCTCAATAACTATGTCCAGCCATGCTGTCTTTCCAGTTTCCCGAGAGGGTCAACTCTCCCCACTGCTGGTCTTCTCTCCTATGCTCTCTGCCCACTGTGCTCCTTACCTGTCACCTGTATAATTCCTACTCACCACTTAGACCCTAACTCAGGCCCTTCATAAGGGAAACTCCTCTGACAAATCCCCTAATTACAATTCACCTCTCCTATGACCCTTATCTTAACACTTTTAATTTTACTTCCTAAATTTTAATTTTCACAATTTTAATTATGTAGCTCTCACTACACTTATTTGCATATCACCTTTATCTCTCTTGCCCCCTGCAACTTAAACTCCACAAGAGCCCATGACCAACACAAAGCACATGGTGGGCTCAGCAAACATATATTGAACACATCACTGAACAGAAAATGTCCAACTCTCTAACGCACCCTCGCTATCATTCTTTTTCCTGCTGTTTTTCCAGATACACTCCCTTTTTCAGAATATTTATCTCCATTCTAACTTTTTTCCTAAGGAATGTCTTTATATAGACTCAATTTTAGGTTTAAAATTTCCATTGCTTTTGTGCTTCTGTTAAAGTTCAAGTAATATTTTAAGCCTTGTGTTAAGGCAATCACCGCAACAATATAGCTTAGAGTGAGTCACAATATCAAAATCTACTTACTAGTTTTTATATGTAATAATGAAAAATGTGGTCTACTTCAAGACAATAAGTGTCTTATTTTTATCTTATTAGTTGTAACAGACATCTTCTTATGCCAACCTAAAGAGTTGGTAATGAAATTGACCTGTTAGAAGATCATTTCTTAGACCTAAAATAAAATGCCGATAATTAATGGACTCTTTACACCCAGCATAAATTTGAAGAATCTTACAGGAAATTTGCAGACCTACATCTTTTGAATCTTTGTACAATTTTCAAGTCTCCATTAGTGTCAAAAGGAAGAGTAGCTTTGTGAATACAAGAACAGGAATCTTACTGAGGCAATGTCCAGTCATTCTGTGATAGAATGTGAGCTGGTTATATTAGTGCATTTCTCCTTCAGATGATGAAGTCACCATGCAGTTTGGAGTATCATCGATCCCCCTGAAGGAGGAGTGTGGCCAGTAAAAGTCTCATTTACTAAATCAGCATAATATATGAAAGGGACACAGGAAAAAAAATGAATGATTTTGTGAGCACATATTTACAACTTCTCGAGCCTCGACTATTCAGCACTTTTGATGATTCTTCCTTTTCTTTCCCAGAGAAAAGCTCACTCCCAGCTACGGATTTCAGGGCTCTACCCTTCTGCGTACTGGTTTGGCCAGGCACTGGTAGATATTCCACTCTACTTCTTGATCCTCCTTCTGATGCAAATAATGGATTACGTTTTTAGCCCAGATGAAATTATATTTATAATTCAAAACCTTTTAGTTCAGGTAAGTGGCAAAAATTATGAGGTAGTTTTGTTAGACTATATTTCATGAATGCAATGACATTATTTATCTTCAACTAAAGAACTTCAAATTACCTTTGCTATCGCGTAGTTTGGAAAGTTGAGGTTTCAGTAGGAATGCTTTCCTAGGTAGTATTTACCTTATCCAACCTTAATATTTCTATTTTCAGATTCTGTGTAGTATTGGATATGTCTCATCTCTGGTTTTCTTGACATACGTGATTTCATTCATTTTTCGCAATGGGAGAAAAAATAGTGGTATTTGGTCATTTTTCTTCTTAATTGTAAGTATGCAGACAGTGCATATTATTTGATTTTTAAATCATTTTTAAATAATTTTAAGAATATGTATTTTAAAGGTACAGTCAACAAGAGGGACAATGTCGAACTAAAAAGCTTCTGCATAGCAAACAAAGCAATCAACAAAATGACAGGGCAACCTATGGAATGGGGAAAATATTTATAAACCATATATGTCAATTATATCTCAATAAAGCTGGGGGGGAAGGAGAATCATTTAAAGATGAAATTAATCTGACCAAGAAATAAATTAGAATAAAGAATTTAAAAAATTAAAAAAGGTTATAAAAGCACCGGTAGAGACCACTGAATTCTGTTAAGCGTGCGTGAAGATTGCAAAACTTTGGGAATCATGATTATAATATTTATATAAAAAAATCCACAAGGTGTAATAGTGCCTTTTATAAAGTGAGCATAACTTTAGTAACAAATCCTAAGAAAGATAGGGACACCTGGGTGGCTCAGTCAGTTAAGCATCTGCCTTCAGCTCAGATCATGATCTCAGGGTCCTGGGATTGAGTCCCACATTGGGCTCCTTGATCAGTGGGGAGCCTGCTGCTCCCCCTGCTTGTGCTCTCTCTTTCTCTCTCTGACAAATAAATAAATGAAATCTTAAAAAAAAGAAAGATAGAGTAAAAAAGAATATCATTGATAAATTAATTTGGAAAATCAAAGACAGTTGTCTAAATAAAAAGATGACAAAGCAAACCCAGAAATAAATTAAAACAAGAAGAAGAGGAATAGCCCAGTATGATTTATTTTAGATTGAGATGATGGTTCACTATGAGGAGCTTTCAAATTAAGAGAGGAAAACTGCATGAATTAAGAAAACACCATATAATTCCTTTAAAAATGCCCAGTAAAATGTATAAGCACAGGAAGGACATATTACTAAAAACCAATGGCAAATATTACAGTACATAGTAAACTTATGCAGCTATTCACCTAATATCAGCAATAAAACAAGGACACCTACAGTGATTAATTATAGCACCCAGTATCAGTGAGGTGGTGTAACATGCACACCCATTCATGTTCATAAGAGCATAGACTGTCACCATCATTTTGAAAAATAATCTGTTAGTAACTGTTGAAAATGTGAATCCACATAAATTTTAACCTGCATTTACATTTCTCAGAATCTTTCCTAAAAGACTAAGAGTGTTGGGGTACCTGGGTGGCCCAGTCAGTGAGGTGCCGGACTCTTGGTTTCAGCTCAGGTCATGACCTCAGGGTTGTGAGATGGAGCCCTGTGTCCGGCTCTATGCTCAGTGTGGAGTCTGCTTGAGATTTTCTCTCCCTGCCCCTCGGCTCCTCCCACTTGTGCTCAGTCTCTCTCTTTCTCTCTAAAATAAAATAAATAAATCTTTAAAAAATAAAGATTAAGAGTGTCAATAGATAAGGATTTATGTATGCCATTATTTATAGGAGCAGAGAAATTGAAACAACACATTTTCTAAAGGCAAAATTGTTGAATTCTTGCATATCCACTCAAAGAAATACTGTGCAGCTGTGAAAATGAATAACTGGTATGTTTAAACCCTAACAGATGTCTATGACCTCCTGTGAAATGAAAAAAAAGCAAAAGGCTGAGCAATGTATGATAAAGAGCCCCCTTGTCAGATTCTGAATTTCAGCAAGAACTCCAACTGATTTGCATGCACACTGAATTTGAGAAGACCTGGTGTGTCTTAAAAATGTCATAGTCAATCAAATACAGAATTCTGATACAATCTTGTGTCGCAAAGAAAAAAAACATGGTGGCAGTACTGCCTTGTGAGGGGAAGGTTGAAAATAAGAACATTTACAAGATGAATTCCCACCCTCTTGGAAAACATACTAAAATTCAGATTTTTTACACTTTAGTGAAATTAGGATGCATTTTTTTTTTTTTTTTAAGATCACCATCTTCTCAATAGTTGCTACGGATCTAAATGAATATGGATTTCTAGGGTTATTTCTCTGCACCATATTAATACCACCTTTCACACTGATTGGTTCTCTGTTCATTTTCTCTGAGGTAAGTAATTTCACACCTGTCCTCAGGTCATGAAGTGTGTGGCACTGGAGATAGCCTAGGATATTGTAGAAATGTAGGTAGAGTCCTTATCTACAAAATTTGAAATCTCTGTCTTGGAAAGGTCATTCTCTTACCACAGGCAAGAGTCATGTTATTCAGTAAGAAGCTCTGCTTTGGTTCATGAAGGTCAAGGGCGGTTCTGCAGTAGTGGAATTTTATAGTTCTCGTGGTAGCCCTCTCTCCTGGGACCAAATGACCCTACTGGGAGCCTAATGAGATGTACTTTTTCTGTTAATTTTGGACATATTGGGTTTAAGATTCCTAATAGGCACATAATGGGAAATGCCACATAGCCAGTAGGATGTATGAGTCTGAAATCCAGCATGTGGTTACTTGAGATCCATCAGCATATAAATGATATCTAAGTGATGGCACTAGATAATATAACCTACAGAGTAAGTATAGTTCGAATAAAAAGTGGGCCAAAGATTTGGCCTTGACTCCAAAATTTAAAGATTGGTAAGAAGAGTCAGCCAGTCAGGTTGAGGAGGAGCCCATGAGGTAGGAGAAAAAGTGGGGAACTGTTGAGCACCAGAATCTCTTCTCAGAAACTCTCCTTAAACACTTAAAGTATCCGTATAGAAGGATATGAGCCAGATGGCAGTAAAGAATATTTCAGGAAGGAGGGAGTGATTCAACCATCAAACAAGAGGTCTAGAAAGTTGATGACTGAGAAGAGACCACTGGATTTGACTACATGAAAGTCATTGGTGGTATTAACCAGACAGAATTCAAGGAAAGGGTGAACACCAAACCTAACAAGAGCGAGCTTAGTAGATATTGTAATATGAAGTAGTGCAATAAAGACACCTACTTCTAGTTTCACTGAAAAGAGTAACAGATGGGAAAGTAGATGGATGAGGAAACTACATTTTTGTTTAAGAAGGGAGATAACGTGCTTATAGGAGAGAAAATTTTGATGAAAAGAGAGACATGAACTACCTAAGAAGCCAACTTCTTGAACAGCTGAGAAAAAAAAAACATCATATAGCACCCAAGCAGAGATGTTGCTTTCCATCAAAGCAAGAACATCTCATCTATTTATGAAGATCATAGCCAGAGGCAGGTAATTTAGTGGCTTTGATGGTAGTAAACGCATGATTCTCTTCTGAGTGATCCTCCTTTCTTAGGGAAAGAGATGAAGTTATCAACTTAAAGTGAGGTGAACAGGGGTGTTGGGATGTTGAGGATAGAGGAAAAGATGTAAACAATTATTTCAGAAAGTAGATCACCATAGAATTGACAGGGAGTATTAAAAGACCCCTTGCCCTACTTTGCAAGTGCAGTCAGCAAAGCTGATAGTTTCTCTTATCATAGTCTCCTTCCCAGATGCAGTTCAGGGCAGGTGGAGTTGGGTTCAATCAGGATTAATGTTTTCCCAGTTGAGTCTGACAAAGAAAAGGATAAAGGTACAATCAATGTGGCAATGAGCAGTGGTTCTGTATAAGGAGGGATTGTAGCAATGGACCATGGAGATTCTAAGCTGGGGAATGATGAAGTTAAGGAGATGAGGGGGTTTATGGACAGTGGAACAGTGGTGGGGTTGGTGGGTTGGAGGGTCACCAACTCCAAATTATGGAGTAAGGGTAGTAGAGCAAGGAAGCTGAAAAAATAAAACATAGTAGACAGGACAAAGATTAGGGTGCCTGAAGTTGATTTTGGATGTGGTACAGGGTTTGGAAGCAGGTGACAGAGGCACATAGGAGAACAAGATTATTTGAAGTAATGTCAGGGTCCTGGAAAACCATTCAATGAGAAAAATATAATCATCTTTTCTAGATGATGGATGGCTGTGATAGAGATTTCCTATGTCAGCTTAACATTGCTCAGAAAAAAGTCCTGGGAAATACAGCTCAAGAAACAAAATTGGCTCTTTACTCTTTATTTACTAAGGGAGTCGGGGGATGTTTCAGAATGTATTGTGAATCTAATGAAAATCATGCACTTATGTGTTATGCATGTATATTCTGTATATTATGCATGTGTTGTAAATCTAATGAAAACCATGCCAAATTCCAGGTGAAGAGTTTTGTCTTTAGCATGAAGAGTTGTCATGATTATTCTTAAGAGTGGGTAGAGCAAGGGACAGAGCAATGTACTGGTTCCAGGGCTCTTAGGGAAGGAGCACAAATGTAGGGAGAAAGGCAGGTAAAAGTTAGGGAAGAGGGTTTGTCTTAAGACAGATCTTGCCCATGGCTTCAATGGTCCCCAGCACCACCCAGGATTCTCTTAGCACGGAGAATCATGCTGACTCACAGTGTTCTAAAAGCATCTGAGCCTGTAGGCCAGCACAGGAGAGGAAACTGAGTGACTTTGGAAGCAAGGAAGACACATAGCACAGTCGGAAATCGACTTTTACCTGATGCACGAGAGAATGCTGGCAAAGTCATTAAAAGGACATTAATGTATCTTACATGAGATGAGATTTGAGAACAGATAAATGTTCATCTAAACCTACTTTTCCTCATTTTACAGATTTCTCCTGACTCCATGGATTATTTAGGAGCTTCAGAATATCAAGTTGTGTTTCTGGCACTGCTAATAGTAAGAATACATTTCCATTTAAATGTTCTTGCATGAGGGGGACACATTTGTTTGCTTAGCATTAAGTTAAAAAGTTTAACTTTGGCACTTAAAAATGCAGTATTTTAGGCATCTGAAGCAAAACACACACACACACACACACACACACAGAGGCTTTAAAATTTGGACCGCTTTCTTTATAACAATCATCTGACATGGAGTGTGGAGCCCAAACTCTCAATGGCATGAATAGTCCGGGTACCAACTTACTACTATCTTGTCTATAACAGCTTCTCTGAAGAACAGTGAAGCTAGCTCTGAGAGTTTCATTGGGTATTAAATCGATTGTCTTTCAAACTTGTCAAAATGTTATCAGATCTATCTTTGTACATATGATCAAACTCCTTAAATAAATTCCAATATTGAACTTGTTTTTATGGTGATTTCTAATATTGATTGTCTTTTTCTCCCCTTAGCCTTACCTTCATTTTTGCATTTTTGTTTTTGTTCTCCGGTGTCTGGAAGTGAACTTTAGGAAGAAATCAATGAGAAAAGATCCCGTGTTCAGGTTGAGAAAATTCAAATACAATTTCATGTTTTATTTAATATTCATTGTTTAAAAACATTTTAATATGCTTAAGTTAATTGAGTAAAAATAACTACACAGGATTTTTTTTAGGAATTGTATAGTGTACAAAATTATTATAATTCACGATATTTTAATGAGCTTACAATCTAATGAGGGAAGCCACATCAGCACACGTGAGACACTGAAAAATTAAGGAATTTCATTGACATACTAAAAGAAAGTTTTATACGAAAGACAAAATCTTTAAAATAATTGGTAAGTATAGATAAACAATTGGTAAGTGTAGCCAGTCCAGGAAGGTAGGGTAGTCTGAGCAAAAGAACAGAAGTTGATATAAATGCCACCTTCCTGTAGATTTGAGTGGACAGCTGGAAAGAACTTGAAAGTTTGTATTGGAAGATAATGGAAAATTAAATTAAAGCTGAATTTTAGAGGGTGTTGGAATAGAGAAGTGTAGGAAAGATTTTGCAAATTACATAATGGGAAATCAAGACAGGTGTGTTTTGGAAACCTCACCTAACTCACAAAATATGAATCAAGTTCAACTGTAAAGTAGGTGGTAGGGCAGGAGCGTGGCAAGAATCAGCAGACAGCAGCAATTTGTGATGGCATGAAGGAGGGAGAAGATGAGAATCAGCAGTAATCAGTGGTGGGGGTGATGAAGGAAATAACTGGTTAGATAGCAGTCAGGAAGGAGTGATTCTCAAACATTCCTAAGAAGGGACAGTGCTCACATACTGGTGATTATGTGTCCTGGATTTCCTGGGATATGTCTCAAATTCCAAATGTTTCAATCCACAGTTCTCGCAAAGTCTTCAGAATTCCAAAATATCTGTGCCAAAAATACAGTTCCTAGATGCCTTTCTCACACAACTGTGCCCCAAAATCTTTCGCCAGAGGATGTGTCCTGTTTTATTATTATTATGTTTTTTAAAAGTCACAACCAACAAGGAAAAGTAAACCTAGGGAAAAAGCAAGAGTTGCATCACTTGACTCATCATGGCACCAGGTTGTTTGCAAGGCAGATGGCACAGAGCTGAAAAATGGGGGTTATGTTGTACTCATAGTGAACCCATTCACATAATTGAGAGCAGTCTACAGAAAGCTCATTTTTGCTACAAGTTTTTCAACCGGAAACCTGTTATTATCACACTGTTTTGATTTTAGAATTTCTCCAAGAAGCAGTGGCATTTTTCCAAACCCAGAAGAACCCGAAGGAGAGGATGAAGATGTTCAGATAGAAAGAAGAAGAACCACAAATGCTGGGACTGTTGAAGACTTTGATGAGGTAGAACGACTAAAAACATGCATCAATATTTTGAAAAACACTTTGTGGTTCTTTCGTCCTTACACACATAGCTCATCACTTGACTTCACTGAATATGCAATGTCCACAGAGATAGAACAAGGGAAATACACACATACACACAGGCACAGACTTGTTAATTCATTTTTTAGGGTTGTATTTTGGGTAAGAAAAGCTACACATTACAAAACCTAAGTAAGACATTGTGAGTCTTATGAACTGAGTAAAGCTTACTGCAAGAGGAGAGAGTCCATCTGAGGTATATGTGTGTTTGTGTGCATGTGTGCATGTGTGTGTGTGTGAATGTGTGTCTTAACAGTCCTATCGGTTTGGTGGATGTCTCTGTTCCTATTTTCTGAGAAAGAGAAGCACAGATCATGCGATACGGTGCAAATGTTATTTCCCTGCAGGAATATAGATTGGGAAATTTCACTTGAAAATGGCAGTTTCTGGGGGAGGGACTTATCTGATTCATGATTCTGTACAGGGAAAAATGTGGTTGGAAGGAATATGGCGCACTCACTCATTTCAAGGTAAGAATAAAGCCCGATTGTTATTTACTTGTCTCTACAGAAACCCGTCATCATTGCTAGCTGTCTACGGAAGGAATATGCAGGCAAAAAGAGAAACTGCTTTGCTAAGAGGAAGAAAAAAGTGGCCATAAGAAATGTCTCTTTCTGTGTTAAAAAAGGTTGGAGACAGTAGTTTTAACTGTTGGCAGAGCTATCTTGACCTCCCAAGATGAGGTCTTTGGGAGGAAATAATAGTACCCGAATCTGGGGCCATCTATTGATAGGCATGAAAGGCAGCCCACTCATCCACAGGCACACACAGATCCGTCCTGTTTAAAAGCCTCAGTTATAATAACAGTGTTTTTTCTTTGCCTAAGAAGACAGTTCTGTCTGTTCTGTTGAAACAGGCAAACAAACAAAAAAAGAACACCAAAAAAAAAAAAAAGAAAAGAAAAAAAGGAGGCAGTTAAGAAGGATGTTACAGCTTTCAAAGTACCATTCATTTCACAACAGGGAATATACGCAAGAGGGAACTCACTGGGACACAGCAGTGCAGTCTCCATTCTAACAAAGAGCACATTTTGTGAAAGTGTCTGTTAAATGCAACAGACTTTGGGACCAAAATTTGTTTCTGTTCCAGCTCAGCATCTCAGTGGCTGTATGACCATGGGCATGAGCAAGCTATACATCCTCCTTACCCCTCAGTTTCTTTGCCTATAAACTGAAGCCAGTAACAATGCTTAGGGATGTGTGTGTGTGTGTGTGTGTGTAGAACAGATGAATTAATGCATTCGTGCACTCAACACAGAGCCTGACACATAGTGAGCCCTCCAATAGTATTTGCTTTTAGATTTATTGTAATTATTTGAAGTTCTAAGCATACCTATTTCTTTCAGGTGAAGTTATAGGCCTCTTAGGACACAATGGAGCTGGTAAAAGTACAACTATTAAGATGATAATTGGACATACAAATCCAACCGCAGGGCAGGTAAGTAAACCACACAGAAATATGGTCATTAATGCTGCCTTGAACAAGCATTAACCCGTGAACATTGATGACAGTCTTAAAAATACGTAAATGATCCTTTCTTATGAATCCATTGAGTTATGCATGGAATGAAGAGGATTAATTAAAAACTTCTCTCCTTAATTCCAAAAATAGTGAGCTGCCAAAAAGGGCTCCATGTTATCTACACCATATGTTTTATTAAATGAAAAGTAGTGATATTAAAAGGAAGTGTTTTGGTAAAAGTAAAGCTGAACATTAGCTTTATTCAGGTCAGAGATCTTTGGGTTTTTTATTTTTTATTTTTTGTTGACTTATGTATCCTAAGAATTTGTTGAATTGAATTGCCAAGATCCAGGATTTATTCAGAAAAGAGAGGTCATAGATTAGAGAAAAAAAATAAGGATTGTCTAAATTCCCAATCAAAAGCTAGAATGGTATGTGAATGTCACTTGGCAGTACGTCTAGGCCAAGTTGGATAACATGATGGTCGGAGATCCACAGGGACCACAGCACTGAGGAGGACCTGCTGCTGACATTTGACAGAAGGTTGAGGGCAGAGGGAGTGGGACCATGAAGAGAGGTTGTGTAGGCGTGTGGATTGCAACATAAGTTTCCGAATTGTCTTTCCATTTCTCCTCTTGCCTCACACAGCAGCCAGAACAGTCCTTAAAAGATGCAGATGAGATCATGTCACTATCCTGCTTATCATCCTTCACTTAGAATTGATCCAAAATCGGTGTTATGCACAAACAATGAATCATGGAACACTACATCTAAAACTAATGATGTAATAATGTATGGTGATTAACATAACAACAAAAAATTTTTAAAAAATTGATCCAAAATCTTTAGCATGGCCAAAAAAGGCCCTGTAAGATCTGGGCTCTGCTCACCCCTTGCTCACATTGGCCTTTGGTCATCGTCCCTCTGTAGGACCTTTGGGTTTATTTTTCCATTGGCTAGAGTGCTCCTCCTTCAGTTTTGTACTTGGTTACCTCCTTCTCATCACTTTAAAATTTACCTCCGCAAAAGGATTTGCCCTGACTACACTCATGGCTACATTGGATCTTCCCTTTTTATTCTTTATCACGTTTATTGCCTTGAAAGCATTAAGCAGGGGCTATAATTCATCCCCATATGCGTCTACTTGTTTTTATTTTCCATTTCTCTGTCTAGATCGAAAGCTCTGTGAGCCCACATTAACTAGTTCTCTCCTCCTTTGTATTGGGGAAAGACAACATAGAGTTGGGGTTAAGGGCTTGGATTCTGAAGGCAGAGTCCAGCTTTAACTCCCAGGTTTCCCTTGTGTGACCTTCTGCAAGTTACTAAATCTATGCACATGTTACTTTTCTCCTATGTGAAACAGGGATGATAAAACTAATACCTGAGTCATATAGGATTTTTCCAAGGATAAAGTAATTCAAAACACATAAAATGCTTAGATTCTAGCACATAGTAAGCACTGGTACACATGACCTGTTAATATTGTCATATAACACAGTGATTGGCTCATAAAAATAATAAATGCTATTTATTAGTATTTACTGGTTCCTTTGTGCCAGACTAGTGCCAGGACTTTTCATTTATTATCTTAGTTCAGGATTTCTTAAGTTTGGCACTGGTAACATTTTGGTCTAGGTTTTTGTGTGTGTGTGTGTGTGTGTGTGTGAGGGACGGTCCTGTGCATCATCCCTGGTCTCTATCCACTCAATTCCAGCAGCACCCAAGTATAACAACCAAAAACATCTCCAGGCATTACCAAATGTTCTCTGGAAAGAAGATTGCCCCTGATTGAGAACCACTGCCATTTTTAATGCTCACAATAAACTTGCACAACAGATCCTATAATTATAGCTAGTTTAACATTGGGGAAATAGAATCCTCAACAAGTATCTACTCCTTTGAATGTTTGGATCAGTGAAGGAAGTCAAACAATGAACAACCAAGTAAGCCACCCTGAATCCAACCAAGGTAATGGACTTGGAAATAAAGTCTACAGAGAGATATGACAATGTAGAGTATGTTCCTTTTGATTTATTGAGTTTTTGCCATCTTTCGCCTACAGCTAAGTGATCACTTATTTACATTTGCACTCTTGGCAGCTGTGTGTGTACGAGGAGGACATCGCTGAATTATGCACTCATGTGCCCATATGCGTGTATACACAATTTTGGACTGAATGTGGGAATGAACTTTTTGTGCAGGTGATTTTGAAAGGGAGCAGTGAGGGGGACTCCCTCGGGTTCCTGGGATACTGTCCTCAGGAGAACGTGCTCTGGCCCAACCTGTCAGTAAGGGAACATCTAGAGGTGTTCGCTGCCATCAAAGGGCTGAAGAAAGGGGACGCCACAGTCACCATCTCACGGTACGTGGGGGGAGACACACTGGTTCTCTACTGGGGGGATGTGATAGGAAAGATGTTCCCACAGAATTAAGGAAGGGACATTCTTTTTTTTTTTTTAAGATTTTATTATTTATTCATGAGAGACAGAGAGAGAGAGAGGCAGAGGGAGAAGCAGGCTCCCAAGGAGCAGGGAGCCTGATGCGGGACTCGATCCCAGGACCCTGGGATCATGACCTGAGCCGAAGGCAGACGCTTAACCATCTGAGCCACCTAGGTGCCCCAAGGAAGGAAGATTCTAACCAATGACTCCACACCTGTGGGAGAAGACGTAGTTATCAAGAAGCCAGTGGAGTGTTGTATTAAGCCTGGAGAGAAAAATATTATTGATTATTCCTTAATATGGAAAGATGTCATTGAAAAATATGAATTTGACCACTATAAAAGGCTCATAAAGTATCCTAGGTAGTTTCAATTTTATGATCATTCTGAATACTCTTTTTAAAAATGTCTCTGGGCGCCTGGGTGGCTCAGTTGGTTGGGCGACTGCCTTCGGCTCAGGTCATGATCCTGGAGTCCCTGGATCGAGTCCCGCATCGGGCTTCCTGCTCGGCAGGGAGCCTGCTTCTCCCTCTGACCCTCCCCCCTCTCATGTGCTCTCTCTCATTCTCTCTCTCTCAAATAAATAAATTAAAAAAAAATGTCTCTAATATAGTGTTTGTTCTGATTTACCCATTCCCCACACACATTCCTCATAGTGTGGGGATAATGTGGATTGACTCACTCTGCTTCCTCCAGGTTGGTGGATGCGCTCAAGCTGCAGGACCAGCTGAAGCTGCCTGTGAAGGCCTTATCCGAGGGAATAAAGAGGAAGGTAGGAACAGGGCTCGGTGTTACTCTGCACACCCCATAGGTCGGCGCCAGACATGCTGTTCCTCTCGTTCCAGGTGTGCTTCGCGCTGAGCATCCTGGGAAACCCATCGGTGGTGCTTCTGGATGAGCCATCCACGGGCGTGGACCCTGAGGGGCAGCAGCAGATGTGGTGAGGAGATGTCATGAGTAATCCTAAGTGAACTGATTGGTCCTATAACAACTAGTCTTCAAACTCATTGTTTATAAGGCAAAAGACAACCCATTATCAGGAAATGCAATATTAAGGGCGAAAAATCTGATGCCCTATCACAGCCAGTTTTTATTAAGGAGAAAAAGATAATTCTAACACCCTAATACTCTTAAGAATCTTGTTTTCATGGTAGATCTTCGGAGTATGCATGGCCCATTTTTATACTCAACCACATCAGTCTATTATTCAGTTTCAATTTCTACAGCACACCTGATACACAGTTCTTGTGAGGAAAAAAAAATCCCAAGCTCTTAGGACAATTCTGAAATCTGCTGTTTTGTATTTTAGGGTTTATATCATTATTATCATGCTTTTAAATAAGTGCTCATTTTCTGTCTTTCTTCCCACTGCCCTCTCATACATATCCTTGGAATTCAGCATTTTTCTAAATAACCTTTTACCCAGTATCATCTTCTACCTTCAGCGCCAGCCATGTTCTGAATTATATTACCCCACCCGATAGTTTGGGTATTTACATGAATGCTGTCCCTCCAAAACTCCTTTTTTTGTCTAAACTGAATTCACTAATTATTTCATGTGTGCTGATAAAACATGTTTAAAAGATGAGAAGACATCTTACGTTGAGCATTGCCACCAGCTAACATTGCCCCTAACCTCCCTTTAGGCAGGCTATCCGGGCCACCTTTAGGAACACGGAGAGGGGCGCCCTCCTGACCACTCATTACATGGCAGAGGCAGAGGCCGTGTGTGACCGCGTGGCCATCATGGTGTCCGGAAGGCTGAGGTGGGTGCCCATCCAAACCCACCCTTGGCTCCCAGTGGGCCTTGAGCAAAGGACATTTTCCTGCACAGGGTTATCACTGTCAGGGGCTGGAGTGGCCTGGCCCTGGACTCCAGAGGCTGAAAGTCACTGGCAATCGATTTATCTTCTCCTTCTCTTCCTTGACTTCATCCTCCTCCTACCTCCAGATGTATCGGTTCCATACAACACCTGAAAAGCAAATTTGGTAAAGAGTATCTGCTAGAGATGAAGGTGAAGACCCCTGCCCAGGTGGAGCCCCTCCACTGTGAAATTCTGAGACTTTTCCCCCAGGCTGCTCGGCAGGAAAGGTAAACACAGGGGTTGGCTTGTTTCATCTTTTTTGTTTTTCTATTATGGCAAAGAGAAATAAAATCTTTACTTGATCATTCTTCTTCTTTTTTTTAACTCTATGGTAATTGTGACTTAATTAATTAGAGGTTAATCTCTAATTAATTAACTGTGATTTTATTTATTGATTAATTATTAGAGAAAGGCCCAATTCCAAGGGAATTTCCTTTTCACAGGAGGGATATAAGAGAGCAAAGTACTGATTGGGAAGCTGATTGTTGTAAGGGAATTCACATTCCTGGCGGCTCTATCATGTGCCAGGTCCTAATGTGTGCATGGACCTTGGTCATCTGGATCCTTTCTAGAGGGTAAAACCATCCCCATTAAATGTGACCACTTGTCTGAAGCTGGGACCTGGTGCCAGGCATCAGTCAAAGCTCAGTGAGTGGTGGCTCTTAGCATTTTTATTATTATCAGTAATGGCACTTGAGGTTGTTTTGATCATGCCAAATCCTAGTGGTGGAGCCAGGAGGTGAACTTAGTTCTTTGTACTTAAATGCTATTCTCTTCTCACTAAGGAAGAAGGATGATAAGTCATCCTGCCTCTCACCATCTTGGAGTGCAAGTGCTGCTGGTTTCCTCTGTCTCCCATTCCTCCCAAGAGTAAAAGGGAGCATACTGTGAGAGCCCCCTCCTGCTTCTGCTTGAATAAAGTGACTTCTTGTTGATTAAAGAACATCCCCACTATCACTGTATCATGGCTCTGCAGACACGTACATTGAGACAAATTGTTGGTGATGTTGTTGCTGCTTTTTAGACATGCATCCATTAATGGTTGTCTTCTTGAAACATGGAGCTCAGCCTCCCTCTCCATTCCTGGCAGGTACTCCTCCCTGATGGTCTATAAGTTGCCTGTTGAGGATGTGCACCCCTTATCGCAAGCTTTCTTCAAATTAGAGATAGGTAAGAGTGACTGTTTGGAGATAGGACTCCAGGAAACAGAGAAATTCAAATCTTGCATAAAACCAGTATAAGAAGTATTAAGACTTTTAATGATGGTTCTCAACCATGAGTGATTCAGTAATGTCTGTGGATACCTTTGGTTGTCACAACTGGGGCTGGTGTTGGGGGGTGCAACTGGTTTCTTGTAGGTCAAGGCCAGGGATGATGTTAAACATCCTACAATGCACACAGGTCCACTCCCTCCCACAGCAAAGAAGGATCAGACCAAAATGTCATCAGTGCCAAGGTTGAGAAGTCCTGTCCTAATTGAATAAGACTCTAGAGGGAAGAGATCATTGGCATTTAGGGCTGGAGTGTCCACAGAGACATCCCTAGAGTACAGTGAGACTTTTCTTCAGAGCCTTCTAATGTTTCTGCCTTTAAACATGTTCCCTCCCACCTCAGATTCCTTCTGCTGTGTTTCATTTGCTAAAACTAAAGTTCTGCTTTGGGGGGGAGGAACCTAACTTTTTATCACAGTTTTCCACCCCACTGTGTCATGGAAATGTAAGTTAGCAATTTTTTTCCCTCCAAATGTTAGGTGAGACACAGTTACCTTCTCAGCTGCAATACATTTATTGAATGATGTAGACCCCGTAGTGTGTGAGCACAACCCATGTCCTGTGACTATTCCTGTGTCCTGCTACAAAGACTCATTCCCCCATAGCATCAGATCGCTTTGGGGTGTTGCAAACTGCACAGAACTCCAGCCTCGCATGCCCACTCCAGGTCAGAGTTGCTTAGTTGCTTAATATTTGGAGACTTGAAGCTAGGGAGGTGGGAGGGTTGGTTTTATCTCCCTTCTAATCTTATTCCTCCTCTGCTCATCCGATCTTTTGAGCCTCTCTGGTGTGGAGTGTAAGGAGAGGGAAGAAAAGATATGACGGCAAAGCTTGATTTGCTCATTAGAGCCAGACTACGGCATGAGGGCCTCCTGTGCAGAGAGGAGTTCCTTGAAGACTCCCTCTCCCTCCCATTTGTAACCTCTGACTAAAGCTTCTACTCTGGGGTGGGTGATGCCTTCTCCTCTTGGTCTCTTGGTCTCTTGCAGCCTCTGGGCCACTTCTTGGAATTCCCTTCTCTTTCCAAGAGATCTCTTGGAGGACCTCCATTGGATGCAGCATCTTGGCCTCTCCAAACTCTGCAAGTACAGGGCCATCACTGTCCACAATTTTTTACATGTTCCCAGACTTGAGGCAAGGACCCAATCCCATGTCCCCAGATTACAGGTCAATCCCACCAGATCCTCTGTCCACGGAGGGGAGAAAGGAAATGCCACAGCAATCTGGACAACTGCCCACAAGAAACCTTTGCTTTCTAGTCTTACCTCTCAGTTCATTATTTTCTTCCTTTTATGTATCTGCACATTTGGGGGTCTTAATCACAGTCCACATTGATAACAGATGGTCAACTCAAAATTAGGATAATTTGACAAAGTTTGGTTTAGGCAGGGACCATTTGCCAAGGGGCAAGGCACAGTGCAATGACCCAAGGCTAGACTTAGCAGAAGTGTTGCCATTCTCAGGTCCAAAGGGACTAAGAGAGGAAGCAATGGCAGGAACCCGGGAGTAGAATCATGTAGAATTTGTGACCTCGTGAGAAGCAGTGACTTTCAATCAAGGGACAAAGTTGATATCAGGGAGGGAGTGAAGGAATAAAGACCTTGACCTCCCCTCTCCTCTGTCCCTCCTCATGAGCTACCACTGGTGGAAACCACCAGAAAAAGCCTAAGTCAGCCGGTAGAGCAAAGAGCAGAGTAGAGAGAGTGAAGGCAAACGTTAAGGGGCACATGGTAGTGTTCTAGCACAGGGGGGAACTGTCTCTCCACTCATCCGGCATAGGTGGTCTGGGACCTTGCACGTTGTTTTCCAGTCTGGTATGCCCCGGCCCAAACTCTAAGACAATGGGAGAGTATTTCCGTCCTGTTACAAGACCACAGGGTGAATTTGCCTTTCCATATTTAGCATATGTGCTGCCCAAGCGAGCACCTGTCTTTCCATATTTAGTCCGAGAATATTTATTACCTTATCCTTCATGTTTAAAATCTGTATGTATGTAGATTTTGGCATAACTTGGTAAAACTCTCCAAATAAAAAAATAGATGAACTCTTAACGTCCGTCCGTCCTTCTGCAGTTAAACAGAGCTTCGACCTGGAGGAGTACAGCCTCTCCCAGTCCACCCTGGAGCAGGTGGGTCAGTGTGCGTGACTCGGTTCATTCATGCACTATAAATGTACAACGTGAGCGGACGCTTTGCACTCACTTGGAGCTACGGAGGCAGCGTGGCCTCTCTCCCTCTTTATTTCTTGTCCGTCTCAGGTTTTCCTGGAGCTCTCCAAGGAACAGGAGCTGGATGACTTTGAGGAAGAACTTGACCCTTCAGTGAAGAGGAAACTCCTCCCACAGGAAGACCCTTAAAGCCCCAAATACCCTATGTTTCTTTTTAGTCTTATGCCTCTTTTTAAAGATAATATTTTATGTCATTAATACATCTTATCTCAGATAGGATACAAAATGCTTTTGAAACTCATGTCCCCATTTTTCTCAATAACATGATGGATAGTAGGACTAAGGAGAAAAGGCAGTGAGAGCCGTCTCAAAACCGGACCATGGGGCCTCTGTACTCGCAACTAAATCCCACATGTCATACGGAGGTAAATCGAAAATGCCTTTGTTGTAGAATGTTTGGATCTCTCAAGATGACACAGAGATTGCTTTATTTTCTTTGTTTCAACATCAAAATTTTGAATATTTTCTTATCCTTTTGAATAAAGTGCACAAGTACAAAGTAAGACCTAATCCTGATTTTAGGGGAAAGAGAGGTGGTGATTACAGAACAGCACAGTATTTGCTTTTTTAAAAGTTTTTGTTTAAATCCCAGTTAGTTAACGTGCAGTGTGATGTTGACTTCAGGTGGACAATACGGTGACACAGCACACTTCCTTATAAACACCTGGCGCTCATCCCAACAAGTATTTGTGTTTTGTAATTCAGAGTTTGTTTGTTGTTGTTGTTGTTGTTGTTCGCTTATTCATAATAAACGGATTTTCCTTTTCTGTCATTTTTCATATTTTATGTTGTGTAGTCTATGTTTTGTCTGTTGTGACTGTCAAGGAAATTTGAAACCTGTTAAAATAAGTAATTTCAGGGCGCCTGGCTGGCTCAGTTGGTTAAGCGACTGCCTTCGGCTCAGGTCATGATCCTGGAGTCCCAGGATCGAGTCCCACATCGGGCTCCCTGCTCAGTGGGAAGCCTGCTTCTCCCTCTGACCCTCCCCCCTCTCATGCTCTCTCTCTCTCTCATTCTCTCTCTCAAATAAATAAAATATTAAAAAAAAATAAGTAATTTCAGTAAGAATTTGAATAATCAAGTTGGGGAAAGTTTAAAAATGACATCTCTTACAATTCTGAAGCATATTTCTGATTTTATATGTTTTCTTATGATGCAAGGGTCTACTCTTATGCAGATCTTAATTTCTCATGTTTATGTATGTTATGACCTCTCCAACTGGTGACCCTGTAAACACCTTAAAATCCATGCAATATACTTGTATACTCTTATTCAGGTAAGTTTTTTTGTTGTTCTTGCTACTGTTGCTGTTGTTAGCTCTTATGGACTGACTTGTGTTCCCCTGAAATTCTCTGTGCACTCACATGAGGACACGGCAAGGTGGCTATCTGCAAGCCAGGAAGAGAGACGTCACCAGAAACCAAGTTTTCTGGCACCTAGCCTGGGAGTCACCATTTGGAGATGAGCTGCCTACAGAGCTCCCTGGACTGTGCAGGACCAAGGCATGAAACACACACACTCCAGTGCAAAACCAAAAAGTGAAACCCCTACAAAACACTTTGTGGCATTGAGCTACTGAGGTTACTGAGACTGTGGGGTTGTTTGTTAAAACAGATAGTCAACGTTACGTTAACTAACACAGATCATGCCAGGAAATGGGTGGGGACAAAACCCTGGAGTAAGTATTTCTTGATGCAATTGCCAAAGACCTTTGAACTATTCTAAGCTGCCTGTCCCCAGTCCTTGCCTGGATCAACTCTACGAGGGTGACCCTTCCTTCACTTTCAACCCATTTGTCCCACACCAGCCTCAAAGTATAGCCAAATAACAGTAACTTCCAACCCAAGACATGATGCCTTTGGGTGAGTCCACCCTTCATTGTATTGTAAAAAGCCAAGAAGGGATGACCTAACTTAGATCTACAAAGTTATACTGAGTGAATGTTTGGAGTATTTGAAGTAGAAAGTAAGAATAATTTATTCCAAGGGATTAATAAATGAAAACATTGCAGTGATTATGAATAAATCATTTTAATGATACTGGGTTTGTTTTTCTCATACTAGTTGTGCTTTTCTCAACAGTGACACTGTTAACACTTTGTGCCAGAGAATTCTTTGTTGGGGGAGGGAGAAAGGAGAGGTTGTCCTGTGTCTCGTAGAATATTCAATGGCAATCCTGATCTGTACTCACTAGATGCCAGTAGCAATCTCCACCTGAGTGTGACAATCAAAAACATTTCCAGACGTTGTCCAAATCACCCCACTGTATAACAATTATATGTCCTTAAGCCAACTGCTTGGAATTTTATCATCTTGGAGCGAAGTAAAAAATGAATTAAAGATAGTGGATCTTGTTCCTTTTGGGGGTTTTGGTGTTTTGCATTAAATACTCTGGATTAAACTACAAAAATTGTTCTTCTTGAAGAAATCTAGAAAATTAGCAATAAAAATGGTCAATAACACATTTTAAAATTTGTAGGCATTGGAGTAACTTCTGTTTGAAGTTCACGTCTCTTTGAACTTTTTAAAGAGAGCATAAGCCTCAGTAATGTGTTGTACAAGGGTCTGTAAATGATTTCGGTGAGGGAAAATGAAGAACCTCGCAAACTGGTGTGTCCCAAAGCAGTGGAACCTCTGAAAAAGCAAGTATGGCAAAGAGCATTGAAAGCTAAATGAGGCAGTTGGTTAAGTGACTGACTCTTGATTTTGGCTCAGATCATGATCTCAGGGTCGTGAGATCGAGCCCTGCGTCAGACTCTGTGCTGGGTGTGGAGCCTGCTTGGGATTCTCCTTCTGCCCCTCCCTGTCCCACCTGCATACGGTTTCTCCCTCTCAAAAAATAAAAAAGTACATGTCTCTTGTTTCCATAAATACATATTAACACATCTGAATTCTAATTGAGATTCTCCATAATATTTAGCCATGTTAATACACTGGTAAATACCAATCTTCAGAAACTGATTTATCTAACACAACTTAAGGGGTACTTTGTTAATTCTCCAAGGTTATTTTATTTACACTAAATTGATGGGAAACTCTCAGATTCTCTTTTCCCTGTGACGAAAACATAATCTTCACTTTGTTTGAAAATACTGCAGTGTTGAAATAGAAAACTTAACAGAATTTTGAACTTGGATGATTCTGTGCCCTTTGATGACATAAGGATTACACTAAGAATAACATAGATCTTTAATGCACATGTGGGAGAATATGTCTAGATGATGGACCTAGAAGAGAAATTGCAGAGTTGCTGGGCATGAATGTGTGTGTGTGTCCATATCCCCAGTGTTCTCTATTTTCCCACCTGACCTATGTGAGAATTTATTTTCCTAGATCCACTGCAGTGCTGAGTATTGCCCTTCTCTTTGCCCATCTGATAAGAGTATACAGTAATTCATTGCTCTCTGAGGCTGTATTCCCTTGCTTTCCAGAGAAGTCAAGTATCTTCTCAGTTAGCTTTCTTCTTTTGTGAATTGTCCTTTTGTATTACCTGTCCACCTTCCTATTTGACTTTTAAAACTAATGCATTTTTGTGGTGCCTGGGTGGCTCAGATGGTTAAGCATCTGCCTTCAGTTCAGGTCATGATCTCAGGGTCCTGGGATCGAGGCCTGCGTCAGGCTCCCCGCTCAGCAAGGAGTCTGCTTCTCTCTCTCCCTCTGCTTGCTATCCTCCTGCTTGTGTTCTCTGTCTCTCTCTCAAATGAATAAATAAAATCTCTAAAAATAAATAAAGAAAGAAAACTAATGTATTTTTAAGGGATCTTTATTCTGGATATTCCTTTTTCTGTTTTGTTTGTTTCAGACAACTTCTTTACACATCTGCCAGCTCTTCAACTTTCTTAATCTTGATTTTGTTTATCATTTCTTTTGTTGTATTGAGGTTTTAATTTTATTATGATTGAACATTATAATTTTTACTCTGTGATTGTGTGTCTGTGTGTGTCCTCTTTAGGAACTCTTTCCTTTTTGGAAATCAAAATATATTCTTCTGTATCTCCTTCCAACTGTTCTGAAGTTTTATTTGTTACATTTTCTCTTGACTCCACCTACACTTTGTTTTTTGTGTTAGGCACAATATGGGGATCTAACTTTTTTCTTTTACATTTGTCAAGCTAATTGTCACAACACCATTTACTTAAGTTCTTTCTTTCTTCATGGAATTTATGTGTTTCCCTCTCATTTTCAGGCTTTTTATTCCTATTATGAATCTGTTGTATCCCCTTCCACACTTTTTTAAAAAAGATTTACTTATTTTACAGAGAGAGTGCATGCATGTGAGTGGGGGGAGGGACAGAGGGAGCGGGAGAGAATCTCAAGCAGACTCTGCACAGAGCGTGGAGCTCAATCTCATGACCCTGAGACCATGACCTGAACCAAAATCAAGAGTCAGATTCTTAACCAACTGAGCCAGCCACATACTGAGACGTCTAATAATCTTTCTATTATCATCTTTCTATATATCAAAAAAATATTTTTTTTTCCAGGTGAGGTTTTAGGGTTATTAGGACTTAACGGAACCAGTAAAAGCACATCCATTAGGACGTTAACTGGAGACACAAAACCAAGTGCAGGACAGGTAGGTAGATGAGATGAATAATATGTAATCCAAAATACCCAGGATAAAGTCAATTTGAAGATCTAATTGGCTTTATTAAGCAATTGATGATTTGGGCAGCATCCCATCTAGCAAGACGAGAGACATTCTTCTCCCCTCTATTGATAGCATCTGTGGTCACTGTGACGCATCTTTCTCTTCTCCAACCTGAGTGTCCCAACTTTCCAGCCCGTGTGGTCATTCACAGTACGCCCCAGATTGGCACGGTGGCTGCTATTGGCCTGGGGCATGTGGTGGCCCATTTCCAATCCACTGGGCTCCAATAGGGACCCTAACTGTGCCTCCCAGGCTATTTTGTTGAACCAGAAGTATTTTCAACTCTATTAGGGGCAAACTGTAATGGCTTCTGAAAAAAAGCCCAAGAGGCTATCTGTTCCTTAGACAACCATAGACAACCATAGCTGTCTTCACTCTCATCTCCTGATGTCTGCCTTTTCCACAGGTTTCTTCTTCCCACAGCTTCCTGCCGCTGTGCCGAGTCTACTAAAGCTCACGTGCAGGGAAGGAAAACTTCTCAGGATGTCTCCTCCCTTAAACAGAGATCTCACAAAGTGGACAACAACCAAAGATAACACACGCTCTTCCCCCTGCAAACCTGAGCAAACACGTTTGTGTGTTTAGCTATAAGACGCTCTGTCCATCACTCCATTTAAGATTTGCCTATATTTTCTGTTTGTACCCTAAGGTGATGTCGTAAACCATCCAGATTGAAAAAAGATGAGCTCCTAATACCTGGCCGTCCTTCTGCAGTTAAATAGAGCTTCAACCTGGAGGAGTACAGCCTCTTGCCTCCCAGCCTAGAGCAGGTGGGTCAGTGTGAGTGATTTTATATTATCCGTAGACTATCAATATACAATACGTGCAAGACCTTACACTCACTTGGAGCTACAGGATGCAGGGTGACATCCCTCTCTCTATTCCTTGCCCCCCTTTCCTGGAGAGGTTTTCTTGCACCTCTCTGAGGAGCAGGAACTGGATGATTTTGATGAGGAACTTCACCCCTCAGTGAAGTCACGCTTCCACAGGTATTTTTAAGCTCTAAATGCCCTATGTTTCTACAAAAGAAATATAATGTTATAACTTACTAAAAATGTTTTAGAATGATAAAGTTGTAATATTATAACTTTATATAATATTATATATAATAATTATTTTATAATTATTATCATATA